AAGTGCGTGCTTAGGCATCGGCTTCACGCCATCCCCTCCCCTCCTCAAACCCACCCACACACACACACACCCCACGTCCCAATCAAGCTCGAATCCCTACGCGCGATTCTGTTGCTAAACAGATTTTATGTGATGTTTACCCTCGTGTAAATCTTCATGTGTGTGGTCCCACCGTTTGTATAAACCACTTGGCCAACTGTACAAAAATTTTGTCTTCAGAGTTCCCCGCTCCTTAAATGCTGCCTCGCAACATGCGCAGTAGTTGGAATCATTCATTGCTGTTCTGATCTCGCAGCTCACAAATACAGAACTTTCCGAGAGTAAAACAGTAGAACGTGTCAGCGTGTACTCTCAATTAAGGTAGAAACTCCTTACCAATCGGAGGCGTGAACCATTATGCCCCTTGACTACTGAGTGCGTAAACATTTCGGACAAAATTAGCGGTTTTAGCCTCAGCGAAGTGGGCGCCTGTTTTTTTTCGTTATCTGATGTTCTTGAGGCCATCAGGTCCGAGATGTCAGAAGGAATGAATTCAGGATGAGACTGCCGTCATCTCTTCCGGCTTTACTAAAAAACACTCATTTGTGCACCCAAAACTCCTGACAGGAATTGAACCGGCTCCTGAGCACTGGGCATCCAACCAACTTTGAAGCCCATTTTTGGTGGTTGATGGGTGCAACAGAGGCGCGTTTTCAGCTCATTCCGCGCAAGGGTTATGGTTTTTTTTGATACTAGCTAATTTTAACTAGGAGTGGTTTGACATTTGCGCGGTCCCTAAAAGTCAAAGCAGAGAAAATTGCTCCTAGAATTGATGCTGGCAAGCCTGAGATCCTAGTTAAAGCATTTAAGTACTGCAATGTGATTCGGTGAACAGACATGCAATTCCCTTGTCTGATTTCATTTTAAATCACTAAATTTATTTGTACTTTTGACCATAAAAACATCTCAAGACTGTTCTGACGACATTCAAATGGAAAGTAGCACAAGTGGTGAGCACATAAAAACCTATTTAAATATGAATCTTCGGAATGTACATTAATGTTTTGTGTACTATATTTTGCCCAACTTATTTAAAAGCACATTCGATTTGCATGAAGTTAGCTTTAGTGTTCGTGTCACGCGTGAGCGGGGATTCGACCTAAGAGAAGAGATGGACTGTTTGTGCGTCGGCACGAGAGGCCTGGTCCAAGCAAGCACACTGAGTAAGGTATGGGACGAAGACAGGAGAATGATTACAAGATGAACAGAGGGGAGAGAGGGCCTCCTTGATGCCAGAGTTCGGGAGACGCGCTAAGATTCATATTCTAACTGTCGGGTAGGCCTAAAAGGGTAAAAATATCGGAAGAAGTTACCAGGCATGGATAGTGTTCAGCGGCATGGAAGGTAGCGTGTGTGAAAGAGCCCCTTGTTAGGAATATCACTGCCCTTAGTGCTATTGAGGCGATGGGGTGTTGTGTGGGATCTCGACTGTGTGGTGGACTGGAATGTCTGCCTCCGGTATCAGATCTTCTGTATCAGTGTTGTGAGCTTTCTCAAGTCCGGATTTTAGGCGACTAAAGTGTACTGTAAGAGGAAAGACGAATGGATCAGATACAGGACGAAAGTTGTTAGCGAGTGATTGGACGACCACGTAGGGGCCTAGTAAGGGTTGTCCAGTTTCGTGTAGTCGCCGCGGTTAGGGTAGGGTTGGTGAAGCCAGACTGCATCCCCTGGTTGATAGAGAGCTCCATGAGCCGTGCGATCGTAGAATCGTTTTCGATGTTCTTGGCTGGGGTTTAGGTGTTGCCGAGCGAGGACGGTAGTGATGCGGTGAATATCTACAAGTTGTGTGCCATGTTCGCTGGGAATAAATGGTGTCGGGTATCTGGATCGGAAATGTAAGTCGAAGGGGGTTTGGAATTCGTGACCAAAGGTCAAGAGAGTAGGGAAGAATCCTGTAGACTGATGGACTGTTCATCTGTAGGCGAGCAGGCAATGTGGAATGAGCTGGTCCCAGATATCCTTGTTGGCTGTGGAAATGAAGGCGCGCAGGAGAGATCCGTTAGTCCTTTCGGTTCGGCCGTGACCCATGAGATGGTAAAGGGTTGTGGGCGTTTTCACACAGCCCATAGGCTCACAGAGTTCTTTGAAAACCCGACTCTCGAAGTTGGATCCCTGATCGGAATGGATGGAGTCAGGAACCCCAAAGCGAAAGGCCTATTGGGACATGACGGCTCCGGTGATGATATGAGCCTCTTGGTTGGGAAGGGGAGCCGCTTCCACCCATTTGGAAAAGAAGTCGACCATGACCAGGAGGTACCTGTTTTTCAGACGTGATTATGGCAATGGGCCCATAATGTCGATACCACTCTTTGGTTGACGTAGCCCGAGGTAATTGGTTAAGCGGGGCCGTGGGACAGTGATTGGGGTTCTTTAGTGGAAAACAGGTGGGATAGGAGGAACAGATTAGACGAACTTCACGTCTTAAGTCCGGTGGCCAGAAGCGTTGGCGAGCTGCCTTGTCTTGTTTCCCTTGTCCGGGGTGGCCCGATTAATTATGAATGTCTGTGAGAATAGCGCGTGCCACTGATTGAGGCACAACTAGACGAATAGGGGAGTTGGTGTCGTATTGAAAATTACGAAAATTGTCGAAGAGGGTTGCTCCAGAAGGACCACGGTGAGTGAGCGCCTTGGTTTTGGCCACCCATTTCTTTTGTTGAAGATTTGCGTTGACCGTGAAGTTTTCTGTCATTAATTAGGACCGTGTTTGGATACTCTGCTTGTGGTATCACCCAATATGTAGTGTTGGAGTAGACTGTGATGACGTTGATGTTGCATAGACATACTGGATTATTGGGAATCGAGAAAGGGCGTCTGTGTTTCCATATTTCTTCCTCGAAAAAAATTCAATTGGAAGTCGAAGTCAGCTAGAGCCTTTTTCTCCCGGGCTAGTAGACACTCCCGTTCTTTAAACTCCATAACCATGTGAGAGCTCGATGATCGGATCAAATCATGAAGCGTTTTCCTATTTGGTACATCGTAAGCCTTTAAGTGAGCGCAACAAGCTCCAAGAGTTCGAGTCTAGTGGAGCTATAATTGCGTTCAGTCTTATGTAAGGCCCCACTCGCGTGGGCTATGACGTATTCTGCGCCATTGATTCCGCGTTTGGGTAAGACTGCACCTATGGCGTGGCTGCTATTGTCGGTGTCCAGGATGAATGATGGTGCCTTGGGGTCTAGCTTTGGAAACATCGAAATGGGGACCACGGTTAGTGCTTGTTTTAGTTGTGTGAAGGACTCTACGTACTCCGACGACCAGTCGAATGACCTGCTATTCTCTGTAAGTCGTTGTAGGGCAAATGCGATCCGGCTGTAGGCAGGGATGAAGGCGCGGTAGCAGCCGATCAGGCCTTAGGACGACCGCACTTCGTCTCTGGAGGTGGAGGTGGGCCATTTCTTAACGAGGTTAATTCTGTCAGGATCTGCAGAGAGTCTGGACTCCGACAGCACTTGGCCGAAAAACTCGATCGATTGCTGCAGGAGGCAATATTTTTTGGGCTAATGGTCAGACAAGCTTGACGATATCTCTAAAGGACTTTAGCTAGGTTGTTTTGGTCTACTTGGTTGTGTACTGGTATTCGTCGTGGGGGTGTTCTTTGTGGGGGAACGTCGCCGGCGTTTATGGTGTGTTGTATAACAGTAGTTCTTGCAATGTCCTGACCTGGGCAGTTGAACACATTGGTAAACTGCCAGAAGTTCATGTAAGTGGAGGAAACTATCCCGTGGAATGCTGGAAGAAAGAATGTCGGTTATAGACGTGGGCTCTGATGGAGGGTGGATAGTATCAACGTCGAGCATTTGGAGAGGTGGGTTCCGGTTGTACACGACTAACCTGGCCCGTATAGTAGTCGATGACACATTGTTCATCATTTAAAGAAAAAAGTCGTCGATTTAAGTAAGCAAATTATGCGCAAATATAATATTATAGGCGCTAATCGGGTAAGTGCTTGTACAAACGATTAAATTTGACAAAAATCTATTACTAGAACTTTGTGATTAATAATACTGGAACAAGCCGTTTGCATATGTACTCAGCCATTAGAGCATTATGTTCTTAATGAAGTTGACTATATTAACTAAGCTTTAAGTGTATAAATATTTACGAATGTGCATGAGTATAAATGGATCTGGTATGTTGCGTAGACGCGATGGATTTTGGCGAGAGATCTCCTAATCCTTGATCTATCTGTGCTAAAAAACCTCATACAAAGGGGTTGAAGTCAACATAGATAGCTCCCAATATGATGATAGACGCAGCCAAAGAAATGGGGTCAGACAGGCAGTGGCCTTCAAACGGATCTCGCCTGAGTTTTTCTAATATGCCTGTCTTACAAAGCCTATCTTCACTACATAACTTACTATGTTTTCCCATTAATGCGCGAGATCTTGTGAAATTAAATGAAAAATTTCAATTCAGGGCAAAAACCTAATTTAATGTTCCATTTATTTTACCTTAATTGCAGATACTAGGAACCATACCATTTAAACAAGTGTGGAAAATATTTTTCTACGGCATCTTAACTGTGTAAGGTTACCTGTTCAGTGGATGTGCGTATGGTAAATGGACATGGACAGTTGAAATATTAATGAACAAGTTATTTTGATAATATATAGTGTCTAGATTAAAATTTTAAAATAGATCCCTGACTTTTATGGACCAGGCATAGACATTATTCTGAAGCTCAATATTCATTTTTTATCCTAAAAATAAATTTCGTAAACATATTTAAAGTTTAGTTCAAAATAAAAAAATTTGTAATTACAGAGCAGTCACAACTTGTAATTTATAAAAATGAATCTCGTTTGTTTTATATGGCCAAATGAGTGTTTTTTCAAGGACATAGAGGCTACTTTTCGTCTGTGGTTCATTTTGTGAAGGTCGTGGTGCGTCATTGTACGTTAGGTAGCGAATCGCGTTGTTTGTGTACTTGTTAAGACTTCCAATTGTGTGCATATAAAATCATGGTGAGCATTAGCGGGGTTCAGAACTTTATGAGCAGTGTTGGAATAACATTGAAGCCGAAAATAATGTCATCAACTGATGCGTATGGAAATGTAAATACATTTGCCGTAAGTTCTTGTTTATTACCTCTCTTTGAAGGTTTCTTTTATTTTTTTAATTTTTATAATATTGTTTGAGGTGTATGAGTAAACCTGGAACTAATATTACTTTGGTCATTTGCTTGTATTCTGTTAGTTCTTTAAAGTTACCAGCAAGTTACCGGCCTAGAAACTTGATTGGCATATAAGTACTGTTTTTTAACGTTTTGCCACCCAATACTTTCTAATTTCAGGCTGAAACCTCACTACTGTTATGCTCTATCGGATTACATAACTCAGGTTTTGACAGTTTGCAATAGTGTCACCATGACTATTTGGTCACCACATACTAATCCCGGGTTATTAAGCATATTGAATTGAAGTAAATGCTATCCTTCAACAACCCTTTAAAGGCGCACATACAAATTTAAAAACTTTGACGTCAAAGGCTATTGGATAGAGTAGTTTGATTTCAAGTTGACGTAATATTCGGTTTTGTAAATAACTTTTTTCACTATTAAATTTCTCGGTTTTTGTACACTGGAATATGACATCATGAAAGTTTAGCTTTAGAATTTTAGATTTAAGCATTTTTGTGAAGAGTTTTCCCTAAAATGTGTCCGTTTCCGTACGAATTTTTTTTTTTCGTGATTTTCAATCATTCCTAATTTTGAAAATAGCATCTGCACCTTTAATTTTACAGGGAATTGACACGCCTTTTGTTGGCCGAATTGGATTTAATATCACTCCCGGCTCCGTGAAGTTCGGTCGCTTTCAAGATCCTCGAGCTACGATACGGAATCAAATAAAGAATCGTGTCCCTGTTGATGCTGGTTCTGGAAAGTCGTCTAGTCATCCTGTTCCTGCTTCTACGGGTGGTCAAATTACCACTAAAGGAATGACTTATGAGGATATAAAAAAGAACTTAAAGGGTACCGGTCAACTTTTCGAAGATCCTGATTTTCCTGCTGTGGGCTCATCTCTGTTTTACTCTATGTCCGCACCTCGTGGCATTGAATGGAAACGTCCAAAGGTTTGCTTTTTTGATATTTCTCGACACGATTGCTGAAAGTTTTTAGTTAATATGACAGTTGACTTTTACGTGAATAGCAGTCCAGGTCTCAAATTTACAAAGTTATCGTGTTGCGGAATACCTTTGGTTTACATATTCGATACTCCACCATTTATTATGTGCTCATTTAACTTGTAGATCTTTTATTGAGAGGTAATTGAACATGCTAGTACTCCAATGATGGTGATTAATATACTGTCCTAACTATATTTTAGGAAATCTGCAATTGTCCCAAGTTTGTATCCGGTGGTACAAGTCGTTTCGATGTTCGCCAGGGTGAGCTAGGTGAGTTGTATTTCCTTGAATCTGACACATCTGTATTTTTTATCGCTTAATTGAACGCAAAGCAGATTTCATAAAAATTCAAATTCCCTCTGCATCAAAATTTATGTAATTTTACCATGGTTTATGTGCCTTTAAAAACTATCAGGCTGCAGTTTTTTTATTTTGCCAGTAATTGGCTTTAAAATGACGTTTAATGGCCTAGTAATATCATCAATTTTAATCAATTTTTGGTTGAACTCATACAGACAATTAGCAAGTTGCTTTGTATGTCTTGAAATTGCAAATAACTGAACTGGATTTAGCAATACGGCACTCTAAGGTTGTACGTGTTTATGTTGATGTAAAATGCAGTGGGTTACATGGGGAATTGTTACTTTTGTGTGGCATTTTGGTCAACATTCATTTCTGCTCATTGTTGACGTATCGCCCGTGGCTTCTGTTTGCCATGAAATCGATATTTGTAAATATTCCGTGTTGTATATTCTTAAACGTTTTTGCTTATGTCCTTTTTAAAATGAGTCATTTACCCATGTTACGGTTATTTTAAATGGAATACCCTTTCATAAATTTTAAAATACGATGTTGAATATGTTCGAGGTTAGTAAATCGAAACGTAGACTCGCCGTTGTGCCTGCTATTACGCAATCGCCCTAAAGGCTGTCATAAATGTCTTCAGATTTGTGTGGTTGCTAATGTTGAATGTTGATCAGTTGCAATGTCGATGCCCGTAAGTGCATTGCAGCGTGAGTTGAATAAAGTGATTTCTCGACACAAAATGTGTGAACAAAGTAGTTTCGCAACATGGTCTCATTATCTGGAAGGGTAAAACAATCACTAATGACAAAACAAATAGTTGCACTGTAAATTCTGCGTTGATCGCATAAGACACTCCATAGTCGTCGCAATCGTTTAGGCAGTTTTGTTTTTTTTAATTTCACCCACCATGAGTCAATTTGGGCCTCGTTGTCATCTGATGCATCGAATAATAGCCCTTTTAATGTAAACATAACCAATCCTGCAAGGTAATGCATGCACAGGCTTAGCAGAGGCAAATACGTTGCAACGCAGCTCCTGACCTACCGTCGTCTCGTTTGTTTGCATAAATTAAACGATTGCTCCGACGAGTGGCGGCGTTCCTGCTGTCATCCGCATCACATGCCTCTTCTCCATTGCCTTCATCTGTTAATTTGTGCTTTCAGCAGTTTTAATTGATATTGCATTAAGACTTTCCAATCTACTAGCCTTTTTAGTGATGCTGCTCTTTTAAACGGTGACTCGATTGCCTGTGGCACAGTATTATAGCTCTACCAAGTAAAAGACCATTCTACGATACAAAATTGTCCCCTTACCATGGCTTACGTGCAATCAGAGCGGTGACATTTACATACAAAAATTCAGACACAAATTTGCCTTGCAGGTGACTGTTGGCTGTTGGCGGCCGTCGCAAATCTCTCTCTGTACCAAGATTTATTGGAGCAAGTCGTTCCACCGGATCAGGACTTCGATAGCGATTACTGCGGTGTCTTCCGATTTACTTTCTGGCGCTTTGGTGAATGGGTGGAGGTCGTTGTGGACGATCGTCTGCCAACACGCAACGGACACCTCGTTTTCATGCATTCTACTGATTCCAATGAGTTTTGGTCGGCTCTGTTAGAAAAGGCATACGCCAAGTAGGTATTCTCATGCTTGTTTGCGAGTTGTAGCAGATTTTAAATCCTAAGCTTTATAGTAGCGTCAAAATTTGTTTTGACTCGGTGGTCAAGAAATCCTGACTGCGACCAAAAACATTTAAGCAACATACTAGGTAGTTTCTGTTCGCCTTCACTGATCTGAGTGCACGAATAGATGTTTTTCTCAGCCAAGATTACACCGTACTAGCGTTTAACACGGAAATATAAACCAGGTGTTTGTAATCTTCTGCAAATGTTACATCAGGCTTTGTGCTCTAATTCTTTTTGAAGTTAAGCCCCTATGTGGGAAACTAGTCGAGGTGGTTTTGGTCACCTGAATATGAAATCTGATTCCATATAAAATACTTTTTTTCTTCAGGCTGTTTGGCTCGTATGAAGCACTTCGAGGCGGTAGTACTGTTGAGGCGCTTGAAGATTTCACTGGTGGCTTAGCGGAGTTCTACGATCTTCGTGGAAAGCAACCCGCCGATCTTTCCAAGATCCTGACAAAGAGCTACGCCCGCCGAACCCTCATGGCCTGTTCAATCGGCGCCGACCCGAATGTCGTCGAGGCGGAATTGCCCAACGGCCTCATCCGCGGTCACGCCTACTCAATCACGAAGATTGCCAATGTAAGCACCTCTCCGCTGACATCTTTTTACGTACAAGACAATGAAGTACTTTCATGGATGCATAGATTTTCTTTAGAGTTTGAATTATTGAATGAGTTCGCTGAGGTGGTACAATCAGACTAGATGTGTCTTCAATCTGGCTCCAAGGTCGGCCGAAGAGGGGTGTAGTGTTTTCAAAATTGTGTCATAATGTTGATAAGATTCAGGTAATCCTGTGGATTGGCGGTAACCGACGATCGTCTACAGTCATCCAGTCATTAACCCTTACTAAACATTTCGGCGAATAGCGGCAGCATAAATCGCCCCATGTGCGTTAATTTACGCTTAAATTGTCGAAGTAGATGCATTTAGTCCAATTTCTCCAAAAAATGATCCAAAAATATCACCCCAACTTACGAAATTGCTGTTTTCATTTAATGTATTTTTGTACTCTATGTAGTTGAAATTATTTCTTCCAAAATCTGATTTCTGTATTATTTATGATGGGCTACTGGTAAAATGCTGACTATTATTGTGTTGTGTTCCACTTATAATGGGAATGTGTGCACCGTCACTTGCATTTCATCTGTTATGGTGTCTGGAGTTTGTCCCAAAACATTCCAAAATAAAATGCCAAATGTGTAGGTAAGATAAGTCGCCCCTGTATGGTTTTTAGACCTCGTGCTTGGACTGGGTTATGGGACAGAAAGTAAATGTCTACGCACATGAGCCCGTAGTTGTGGAGAGGTGCAGTTATTATTTTCGTGGCTACTTCGACAGTTTGAAACTGAAGGTTATTTGGGTGTTGGGAAAGCTGCATATGCTTGCCAAGATGTTTTCACTTTCATTTGTCCGAATTTAATTAGTGTCGGTGCGCCTGTTCTTGATTTCGAAGGTACAGCTCCTATGAACAGTCTTGGTCTGTTGGCTAAAACCACTACCTGGGTTACAAAGCTCTACCCAAGCAGGCCTGAAGGGAGGTTGAGGCGTGTGTGTACCTTTTCGCACTCCCTCCATCGACACAATCACCCGCTTTTACCATTTCATTGAGTTTAGACACAAATCTGGCCAGGGACGCCTCCTTAAGATAAAATTTATCTCTAAAAATCGTCATCGTTAATTGCGAGTTAGTGTGTGAGTAAATAGTTGCAATGTCCGCCGTTTAACCAAAATCATCTCTGTTTAGAAGTTGTCCGGATCTTAATTTTAACTCATAAAAGATGACGTCAGTGAAAAACTGACATTGTAGTTGGCAAAGTGTTCAACCCGAAGTACCATTGTTAGTATATTTCATAAAGATCAGCAAAACTGGACCAAAAGCTACAGAGGTTTTTGAAATGAGCGCTAAATCCCCGAGCATGCTTATTGGATCAATCCGCCAAAAATGCGCACACAGTAATTATTGTCAACTGTTCTCTGGCATTTGTGTAATGCATTGGTTGTGCTAATCATCTAAGAGGCTCCAAGCGTCTGATTTTTATTGTTCGTAAAAATCGCCGTAATTATCTCCCTCATGAGGGAGCGAACGGCTTTTTTTGGCTCGTCTGGTTGCGATGCCGACTCCGCACAGCACATGGGGCCCGAGTGCCTAATCTTTGCAGCTGTTGCCGCGGCTTGGATTCCGTCTGCAATCAACGTGTCAGACGATCAAAGCACGACGTCATTTAGTCACAAGTGAACTCGGCTCGCACTTTAGAAGGTGGGGGAAAAGACGTAGCCATAAACGCCATCCGTTTGTGGTAAAATCGTTTTGTGCTTTCGAGTGTGGGAATACAGTGAAGTCCAGGTAGTTTATAGGTATTGCAGCAAAATAACATTGTGCCCCTGTTTTTAAGCCAGGAGTGTCTGAGCCCATCTCGTTTTCGGTATCTACGATCACAGGTGATTGGTTAATGATAAAAGTCGTCATCACCATCGTCATCATCGCAGTGTAGGCTAAAGTGGTTTTCGGGTATTCACATGTTACACTATGGTGTAAAAGTAGTCCTGACTACATGGGCTTATCATGACACCTTTATTAGTGATTTTGGAAGAGTATACACTTGTTTGAATAGTTTTTTTTAAAATCTCGCCCCTTTTTTAAAGCGTTAATGCCATGCGTTTCTGCGCCGAATGTCTTGGATCCAGGTTGTGGAGTGTGAACTAGGTCTGCAATATCGATTTTTGTGTGTGTGCGTGCGTGTGCTTGACTTTTCGGCAAGCGCAGCTTTCATGGACAACCAAGAAGACACTGCAACATAAGACTTGTGAAAAGCCTCATCTCCTGTAATTCATATGTAGTTCAGTAGTATTGTATCGAATGCCCAATTCTCCATTTAACCACCATCTCTTGCTTTGGCATCCGCCAAAAATAAATTTATGCTGAAGTTGCTGTGCACACCAAACTTCCTTTACGGTGTACCAGTTTTATTTTTCACTGCTATAATCACTGAATGCAGCCATAATGAATTATTCACAATTGTTCCATGGATGGTGTTTTCGCCAAGTGGGTTTTATCTGGTGGGGGTGTTGTAGTGTCACTAAATTGGAACCCAGCCTATTTATTTCCGTCTCCACTTCTAACAAACTCTATGGACGTGCCACGTACCATATTTAAACTGTTTGTTTTTGTCTAGGTAACCACAGCATCGGGTCCCGTGCAGCTCATCCGTATCCGCAATCCCTGGGGAAATGAAGCCGAGTGGAAGGGACGTTGGAGCGACAAGTCTCCTGAGTGGTGTAGCGTTTCAGAGGAGCAGCGTCGCGAGCTTGGCCTCAATTTCGATGCCGATGGCGAATTCTGGTGAGAGCTTACCCATCTGTGTAAATATCGTTTTTTCTACGATCATCTTACCATAGCTCCGGTGCCTGTTAGGTTTAGGGCCGTCGTAGACAGTAACTCAAGTTACACCATAGTTGTACTTCCTTGAAAAGAATGCACTCGACAAAACACCGTCTTTGGACCGAAGCCGTTGCCCTACATTTCCTGTAGTTAAGTGTGGGTTTCAACTAGCGCGTGAGTAGTGGCCCCTGGGCGATCATTTACGTGTCTGACTGAACTGCTTGCCGATCTTTCGCGTCACATCTGAGAAACCAAATTTTTTTGGCGTGCGCAAGTTAATGGCTCTAAACAATTGGAAGTAACTTTTGCCAAAGCCGTGTCAAACAGATGTAAATGGGTACTGCTTAAGTGGGTGGCGGGCATGGTTTGAATGCTTGTCGAGCATCGTATCATTTAAATTCTTGCCAGAATGTGATATAACACGGGCCGACGTTTGTGTGAGACCATTCATTTAGAACCGTTGGACTGAGGGAATAAAGCTTACACCAAACAGGCTTCCTCTACGAATAGTGTGGAATATATTCGCAGACTCAGCAAGATTTTGTAATCATCCCGATTGCTTACCTTATGGTTTGGCTGTAATCCTAGCATTATAAAACCGATTCGAAAGTAGCCAACTTCATAACCTAATAAGGCAAACAAACCCATGCAAAACTGCCAGTGCAAGATGCAATTCAAGCAGCCTCCAGTAACGAAGACTCATGAATCGGCGTTTTCGGGTTGAGATAATGACTTAACCGCGAATACTATTTTCGACAGGTTGCGAGACCGTAAACACAGCCCAAGGGCGTTTTCAATTATATTTAAGTCACGACTAGTTTGTGGATTCCTGGAAAAATAGGTTCCCACTTTGCAAGTTCGAGGTCGCCAAGACAATATGCTAGGTACTCTTTTGTTCACGCACGGAGATTTATTGAAACTATCCGTCAGCACGTGGATGGTAGTTTGTTTGTTTATCGTGACTGCCTAACCTTGCAATCCGTTCGACGCACTAATTATCATTGCACCAACGACTTTTACCCTTGTCCTTTCACCCATATTCAAGAATTCTGCATCAAGCATAGGTGTTGCGTCACACCCAAGCCACCCCTCTGTGGTGTTCTGTGCCGTCAGCTGTGTTCAGCTGTTGCTGGCATGGCATGCAACGCAGAGACATCTGTGTGCTGGCTGGTCCGCAAACTCGCGACGAGCACCACGAGCTGTGTGGAGAGCGCAGGCGACTTGCCCAAAACACAGCGACGGGTTTGCGCACACGCGCCTCTTGTTGGTGCCATCTCCACCGCTGCACAATGCGTGCCCTCGTGCGTGTCTGCATGTGCCGCTTTAACGCTGGCGTGGCGGCTTTTCACTGCTTGCAATAAATACGCGCCTCAGCGACGCCTCGAGGTAGTTCTGATGGGCGTCGGGCGTTTTAGCCGCTCACTGTGTGCGCTACGTCGAACTGACTGCCTGCCAGGGCCAAGTCACTTTTGCCTAAAGCCTTCCACCTACTCAATAGTATTCAGAAAATAAACCTATTGAACCACGATACCGGAGTCTAAAGACGATTGGATGTTTTTTTTGCTGTTTCTGAGACAGGCGGCTAATCTGTCCGACCTCGACGGCTTCGTGAGACGTCGATACAACCAATCACGTGACGAATAGCAAATGGCCAGCCATCATCAAACCTGTATTATTCTTCCACGCATTGGTCGTAATTGGAATCACCAATATCTGGTACATTTGAGCAAGTGAAACCAATTCCTGTAATGCGCTGACCCCTTTGTTGGTGGTTTAAAGTAGGTTTTTATTAAACCTCAGACTGTTTTCACTTATACCTTGCTTAAGCCAAGGTGGTACATTCCGTCTTGTGTCCTTTGCACACTCGGCTCCTCAAATCTCTCTCTCCCTGCGGCACTGTTTCAGCCATTTAATGAGCCATTTTAAGTCAAATCCAAACTTAGCGGAATTTATCCGCACTTACACCTCATTTACCGCCACACGTATTTGTTTATCAGTATTTGTTCAATGCGGCTGTACTGCAGCTGACCTCATGCAAAGGTCACGTAGTCATTAGAGTCCCCTAATTTTACCCTACAACCACTTCATCGTAACCGCCTGACTCTGCATTTCGTCTAGTGCGGGAATCCGTCAAGTCAGTTCTTAAATAATACTGGAAATAAAGTTGTTGGCTGCTCTTGGCCGTTCGCCATTGCATTTTAGCTATACACCTAAGTCAACTGGGTCATTGCAGTTCGTGTGAAACCTCATTGGGACTGCTTGCGGGGTAAAGCTCTGTGTTTGAGCAAGTGTGCATGGCGCCCCCGTGATGGTTAGTTCAAAAGATTCAGTTTTGACTCTGCTTTGAACCCATCAATGGTTCTTCGCGGGGCTATCGACGTTGTCCACTAATTTAAATTGTTGCACTACTTTTGTGCTTTGCCAGCGTCGAAAAATGCACTGGACGAGCCTCCGTCAGGCAGACAAATCAAACTCATTTCGACGATGACTGTCTGATTGAAAACCCTCTTTTTATGGAACATCGATGCTTATAGATACCGATCTATATATTCCACTTTTCCCTAAACAATTCTGGTCGCGCCTGTAGCAAGTCGCCTTCTTTAACACCTTGCCTACCCACCAGTCGGTTCAGTTGTGAGCGTAATTTCGAGAAAAGAAGTACGTGGCCTTATAGGGATAATATTGCTATGACAACAAACAATTATCCCTTGCCTTGGACGCCAGTGTTTGCGCCCTTTAAATGCCGGTCTCCCCACCACCACCACCCTGCCAGCATAGGTCACCTTGCGCACAGCCCCTCGCGTTCGCGGTCTGCGCCAGACGCGATTGGTTTGCACGCCAATGATTTGGTGATCACAAACTGGTGCAGGAAGTATCGATCGTGGACGGTTGGGTGGGTTGTCTAATCATGTGCACGTACGAGGTACGTCAGCCTTCCCGTGTTTTACCTTGCCGAATTTTTCAGCTCCCTTTCAAAAACTAACGTCGAAACTCTTCGCCCTCGAAATGTGACATGCGAATCATCTCCATTCAAAAACTCGAAACAAGTCGCATACATTCCTTTTGCGTGTTGTGCGGGCTGTTTACCGAATAAAATGAGCTAGCAATCATATTGGTTCACAGGCCATTGATTTTCAATGTAAAAGACAAGAGGTCGTACAGTTGTCTGTCGATGGGTTAAGCTTATTTCTGGACTGAGTCTAGCTACGATAATCTTCGTTGAATGAACTGGCCCACTACAAGTCGTGACGAGGCCAGATACACAAACCCTCGATATGTCGGTTTGAGTTATAAGTTATGACTTTTTTTCTTGCGTACAAATGAAACTATTATCTTCGTGAAGTACTTGCTGAAACGGTGGTCATTTATCCGATCCCAACTGATAAACAGTGTGGAAATTACGTTTCAAATTTAAAGCTTCCATGACAAAAGTAAATAAGTTGGTGTCAGGTCCAGTGGGCGTTGGAGATGGGGAATTTTAACGCGTGCAGCCTTGCTATGTCAGTTTAGGGAACGGTAGCCATAACAGCTTTTCAACGTTTTGACATTTCTAACTTCGGTTTAAGTTCCTCGATATGCCCTCTACGGTACCCACCTTACACATAAGAAAACTCATTACTTGTTTGCTTACTTGTGGTCCAGTTTTGACTGCGGTCTTTTCGATCCATCGATTACAAATAGCATTTCCATGCGCTGTCCATTTTTACTAATATTTGTCACAATGATGACGGTCCTTGTGTCGACACGGGACAATGGTCTCTGGCGCATCATTAGTTTGTTTTTCGTTAAGTTAGTGTGATTCCTCTTCATTTTAATTTACCTTTTTATTAAATGCACTACCCAAAACCAATAAAAAAGTCTTATTATTATTGTTTTTTGGTACCAAAATAGGCTAGCACTACTTTTGTCGTTATTTGGTTCAAGCCGGTGTACAATGGTTGTTTACCAAGCCTTGGTTCCTTTGTGCAGATAAACACAGCGAGTCGATTTCGTCAAAACGATAAAAAGCCAGTTCGGGCCGTTATTAAACTATGTTTGTGTTGTTCTACGACAATGGCCATCAATTGACAAGTTCGGAATGGTCATTTTGTGGGATGCTGTCTCTCAGCTAGAACCAGAAGTGTAAAACAACAGGGTAAATAAGCCTTAAATGGTAAATGTTACATTGCCTGGACGGCAACTGGTTTGCAGGTCCTCAGCATTACATTTCACTGTCCGTGTGTTTTCCAAAATTAACGACCTGTAGTTCACACCACTTAGATCTTGTGAGTCAGGACCTAGCATTTATTGCTGGGAATCATGCGACTTTCGCAGTCTTATTCGTACCCCAAAAAGTCTGTCATAAGTTGATCGTACCAGTCAAGTCACAGTTCCCGATGGGCAGTTCGTCCGCCAATGGTTCTTTCCCAATTTTCTCACTCATTGGTCATACTTCTAAAAGTGCAATTTCACGCAGCAGACACTGTAGACGTTTTGACACGCAACACCCAACAGATTGCAGCAACTATTTATGGGCTGTGTCCACCGACACCTGCGAATGATGTGCTCATAAAAAACCGTCTGTTCAAATGGACTGACGCATAAAAAATCGTGCCAATTGCAGTAACATACCTTCGGAAACCTCGCGCAACACACTCTCAGCTAAAGTGCTGGAAAGACCGCATTTTTTGTAATGTAGTTCCCATGTAGCCGCTTCTAGTATGTACCCACCGAGTACAGTGCTGCTGTCTCATGGCAGCGACCTTAGTGAACTGAATAATGCATATTTACTTGCTTTGTTTTGTCTGCGCCTCCTTCAGGATGTGTTACAATGATTTCGTCTCGGAATTTGAGAAGCTGGAGATGTGCGCCCTTGGTCCGCAGTCTCTCGAGATGACTGAGGGCTCGAGAAACGTGGCCTTCGAGATGACAATCGAACACGGTGGCTGGCAGCCCGGCGTTAACGCCGGTGGCTGTCGCAACTTCCTCGGTAAGCACTTACTGTTGCTTCAGTTCTGCAGTTTATTCTCTTAGTCCTGACCAAACCACAACTTGTACACTGCTAGCTTCGGTATTGCCTCCTGTGTTTTACTCTCCCAAGGTGGAATCTTAATGTGGACCCCGGATTGGATGTGTTGATCGCTTTTTAAATCAGATTTTCTGTTAATGAGCGTCAAATTATAGTGAAATAATTACCCTCTAATGAGTGGTTATATTTCCCAGTCAACGGTTTTCCTAGGGCTTGAGCTTTAGGCACTGTGCTCCCAAGAATGAAGTGGAGGGGCAATGGCGAGGGCGGTTGCAGTTTTTAGGTTTGCCTGGTTTTGTCTCATTATTAATTAACGTGTTGGCCTGGACGCCTAAATAGGGCATGCGTGCCCAAGGTAGCAGACGTGGTACAAATTTTCTGCACCTTGACCCACTTCCTGTACACTGAATGGTCCAACCAACGCATAAAGTGCTTTAACACCTACCCCGGCAATTAAATCATCACATCACAAAGTTGATCTACTCTAAGACTGGTGCTTTGATGCCTGAAGGGCCTTTTGACAGCCACAACAACAATGCGCAGAAGTGATTTGGTTTTGGTACGACGTGCTGCTACGAAATGCGAAGGGTTATTACTTTGAGTATGGTGTGTGACTGAATCAATTGTCGCGATGGTTGCCTAGACACCTTCTGGACCAATCCCCAGTACAGAGTGCACGTGGAAGACGCCGATGAGGGTGACGACGAGAACTTGGGAACCCTGATCGTCGGTCTGATGCAGAAGGATCGTCGAAAGATGCGCAAACAGGGTGCCGATTTACTCACCATTGGCTTCATGATTTACGCAGTAAGCCTTTGATCATGTTAACTTGCCCTCTTCAAGTCCATTTGCTTCTACCACCTACAGGCAAAGAGTAAATGTTTGTCCAAAACTATCGAGTGTTTTTCTGTATTTGTTATAGATATTATTTTGCCAATCTACTGTTCTTGTCAGTGGATCTCTTTATCTTGATTGGTTCACAAATCTTTTAACTTGGCAAATGTTCTATAGAGACAAGCAGAACTCAGTGGCTTTCCATATTGATTTCCTCATCATTAGTCTCCTATCTTGCTTGCGTTTGTTGCCTACACGTCGTTGCGGACATGGTTTGATTTGATTTATGACATATCACCCACTCTGCGTCGACCTCTCTTGTAATGCGTACACACTTGTCATTACGCAGGTTCACACCCATTAACACTGGCGCGAGAGACTCCTTACAGGACAGCTAAAAGTCTGGCTTTAAACTCCAATAAAGTAACCTTCACATGTATCCCACTGGTTAACCCGAATTAAAGTATTCGGATTTGTTGGTGCGTTGCATTGATTGGTTGCGATGATAATTTAACTAAGGCCATATACGCACAACTGGAGTGTCCATGTCAAACATGGAAATGGTCTAATTTCAGCTGAAGCCAGCTTAAGAATGAGGAACTTGGATTACTTGTCGAACAGGTCCTAGTCTAAGTATCGCACCGTAATTTGAGTAGCCAAGAGCCATTAATGCATTAACCTACCCTGTAATTAATAATGAATATCTGGTACTACTTCGGTTGTGGCCCTGTGGATGAAGGCGTCTCTGCAGCCTTCATTCAGTTGGAACACGCACCTTCAATATCACAGTCGCCTGAACACGTGTTTATAATGTCACGTGTAACCAGTGCCACGGGCATGTGGTTTTAACGGCCGTTATTATTTACATGAGCTGCAGTCTTTGAAGTCAACAAACCCTAAGTGGGCCCACTAATCACTGGTAGATTGACCAGTGTCAACTTCCGAATGGTGACTGTGTTAACTTGCTACTTTACTACTTTTGAAATTCCGCTTAAATGTGTTGACGTATCCCGTACCGAGCTCCGTAAGAAGTACCACGTGACATGTTTCTTTGTTGCCGCCTGTGTCATTAGCTGAAGGAACCGCGGTCGGGGCTTCTGGATATGAATTTCTTCAAGTACAACGCCGCGGTGGCGAGGTCGCCAGCCTTCATCAACACCCGCGAGGTGAGCGGCCGCTTCCGTCTTCCGCCAGGCGACTACGTCATCGTTCCGTCAACCTTCGCCAAAAACGAACGCGCCGACTTCTTGCTTCGCATCTTCTCCGAGCGACTCCATCCTACTGAGTGGGTTTTCGTTGCATTGTCGCATATCTCCTCCTCGTTTTTGTTTACCCAGTCGTTTATGCGGACTCCCAAATTCTGTTTTGTATGTGTGTTTGGTCAAGTTGTTTGCATTTTTTAAAAGCACTATTAGCTTTAACTGATTTTCTAGTTTGTGTTTAGGTTATTAAGACTAGGAATGTGCAATTAATACGAACGGGACTAATTACACAGCCTCATTCAATGCTTATGAAAGCGAAATGGTATAGATGAGAGCTATAAATTTGCTTGTGTTTAGTGGAAGATGACGCCAAGCGAAAATTTCCATTTTTTTTGGCCAAAATAACCATGTTCCTATTACGATATTCCCTTCGTCTTCGAGGATTTCATTCATTTGCTCTGCTGAAACATGCTTGTCCAAATTCTCCAACTTGCATATTTTGTGACTCACTTTTGTCACCTGCCAAACACCCTGAACACGATTGCAAGCCCTTTCCATTAACTTACCTATCTTCCTACCTCATTTTTTGTAGACAAATGGACGACACTGTCGGAATGGAGGACCCACAAGTATGTCTTATTTACTCCCTTTTCTCCTTTAAAGCACCTTATCTGCAGAAACACGTATTTTAATTGGTCGCTTGTGTCTCGGTTTCCACGGTACTACACATCTACTTGGACTTTGTTAAGGCTAAATTGGCTCATAATTAGTGAAATTGCGCGTCAAGCCAACTCGTTGATGCCAGTCTGGTGAACGGGAAGGCTTTGCAGCCCAGGCTTGCACCCAAGACCAAGCGAAAACCTTTAGCTAGAGCTTAGTTTGCGTTTTAAAAAGGCAAGCAGCCACGGATATCGGATGTCGGCTGGCCACACACCCTACTGGGCTCCATTGTGTTGCTTATTTCGTCTATTGCCACTGACCAAAGCTTTCCAACCAGACTAGGTACTTGTTTGTGATTGGAATGTAGGAATCGCACTGTTCGCCACGCCTTTGAAGTATTTTTTTAATAGTTGGTTCCGTTTCGTTTTAAGCAGTCATACTTGCGGATTGTTGTACACAAGGCCTGTGCTCTGCTACTTGTGTCATTACAGATTACATTTTTTTTATTATTTGATGGGCCCTAAAATTTTATGCCTTCATTTCACATTACAACTGGTCGCACACTTTTATCCTACAAATCCCTATAGATTCCAGTATCGTTTACCTTAACAGGTTCTCATGCTTTGTTAATTGGGTTAAACAAATTCGTTGAATAACGCTGCAAAATTTCAAAGTGTGTGTATGCTGTGAATCTAGTTGGTAAACACTATTCATGTGTTCACATCAGTTCCGAGAAACAGCCCAATACAAATAGCTGGTATTTTGTGTTATTCGTGTTATTTTCTCATAACTAGGAAGTTATTAAGAGCCGTCTTAAGCATCGATTTGTAAGTAAATTTATGCTAATGTTAACACAACCGACCTGCGGTGCGTGTACGCATTACAACCTCGGTATGCATTGAGGCTAGATTTTGCATTCTTTTCATATTCTAACACCTTTCGTTGGTAGGTTTTTGTTCCTTTTTTTGTTTTCAACTCAATCGCTGCCCCATTTGATGCACCTTAATCCAATTAATTACCTAGAAGAACAAGAAAGTGACTTATCAGATGGTTACTTCTGTGAGTCGATGTACATAGATTAGAAAACCATGCATTCTCGGTGTCCGTGTACACACCACGTCTCGAATAGCGGCGAAACCATCGTCTACTCCCATGCACCAGAGCACCCGTTTCACAACCATTGCCCAGTAGAAGTACCTCTACATGCACTTCCGAAACAAACGATCCCTGTGGCGTGTTCGTGTTTACGACTCTGCGAATAATTGCAAAGCTAAATCAAAGTTTATTACTTTAACCAGAAGAGCCTACACGGCCATGTGCGTCCCGCTCCCCCCTTTGTTGCTTGTTTTGTTCCTTTTTGTGCTGTCTTTAGACTTGCTTAAATTAATCGCCCTGTGGTGTTTTAACATTATTATCGTCTGGTGGACGCCTTCCCGATTTTTAGTTTGCTTATTCTTCATTTCCCACTGGCGTTTGATTTTAGGAGACGGACAAAAAGGTAAGTTTCGGGCTCAAACTCTGCGCATTTTTTGCATTTTTTTCGTCGTCCTTGACCTCTGACACTTTTGCTGGTGAAGAAAATTAAGGAAGTGCATAATGGCAGGTTCGCAGGGAATGGATTGGGGCGGTTGTACATGTTCACCTTTTTAATTGGAATCCGATTCTGTTCTCATTGACTTGTTCAGATTGTTCAAACACCATTGTGGTGACGTTACAGCCGTTAACATTTGTGCTCGCTCCAGACGTCGACATTTTTAATTAGTCTCTACTAGTGTTTGGTACAATCAGCTTCGATGAACGCGCGACCGATTTAATGGTCATTACTTCGACTTCATTTGAAGTTTTTTCATGCGAACTGTAGGTGGTGGGTCATCTGGTTTATGTGATGGGCGATCCCACACGCATCTGCTTACTCATTTGCGCTCGCATGCTCCGTTGCTTATATTTCATGGGGCTTATTTTTTGCACCACTCACCCCCTTTTTCTGCTCTCTTTATAAAGTCTCTAAGGCCACAACAACACCGTGTAAGTTCACGCAAACAGGTTATGCGTTGTGCGTTTAGTCGCGTTAGCCTCTATTGTGTTAAGCATTACATTTCGCCATTAGTTTATCGAAACATCCTGAAGCAGCAACTACTTATTTGAAGGCAAGCTGATTTGCTAATCTACTGCGCTGCTTTTCATCCTGGATACCGTCATGTGCGTTTAATTCAGAAAAAAACCTGCGACTTTGTATTCGGATCAAGCAGATCACGACTTGCCTTTCAACTGATTCTCTCTCTCTAGTGCTGCTTAATTGTCACCGCACGCAGACTCCAACTTATGCAATGTTGTCTTGTCCTTGCCAGCGAACTGGTGATGCGAATTTAAGGTGTTTGTTGTATTTAAGCAGAGCTGTTAAAGTTCAAAATTACGATTTATTCTTCCTTTATTAGAAGTCGATTTAGCGTCATAATGTCTGACCCCGAAATCTTTCCCTCAATATTGTATTCACCAGTAGGTTTCCTCTATTTCGTTTTAAATTGCACTTGTTATAAGCGAATCAGATTCCTAAAATGCTTTTGCTTTCTTTTCTCCTAAAACTAAATGCTTGAAAAGCACTATAACAGCAGCGACAGGACACGTCGATTTGGCAAGAAAACTGCGATTCCCCAGCATGTACGAACGCACCATTTCTGCGCATGTTGTGGCAAATATGTTGGTCGAGGTGATACTTATCTACAACAGATAACTAAAGTCTACTTATCTTGCATGAAGCCGATCACACACAAACTCAAAACTGAGCAAAGTTATATTGGTGTATCAGACATCCGTATCCAGACCCTGATTGGTTATTGTATTGTCTATCTTTGCGACTAAGGGTGCCGTCGTCCCGGAACCTATCAACGAAAGTCAGGTCGCGGCGCTGAAAAACGCTTTCGAGAAAGTCAGTGGACCTGATGGCGAGGTCACAGCCGATGAACTCATTGACATTCTCAATGTGGCCTTCACTAAAGGTGAGTGAATTCCACTGACTTCTGCTCCCAAGCAATATTGCTGCAGTCCCCTGCTTCCTGCATACGCATTCCCACCAAATCTCTATCACTAACATCTCCGGGAATCGGTTCCGAACAGCAGTACAGAAAACGACTTTTTACTTATCTCAGTAGAGAGACCACCTTAAATAGGTCTGCTGCGGTTTTACTATTTTAATTCCTTCCAATATTGTCAAATATCCTCATTTTCCCCTTTTTCCTTGCACGCCTATTTACTCTCTTTTTCTGTCTATGTCACTGGCTCCACAATCTCCGTCGTCGCCTTAATCGAATGAGCACTGTTGCAAGAGTTCGGAGTGGCACCAGGGCTTGCATCCTTACTATTTTTGTTTTATACTTCATCCCTTTGACGTCTCATTCTAGCGAACGTCGGGTTTTTAATTACAAACACATTTGATCTCAGTTAGTATACATTTTACACAGCTGCTTCCGTTGTTCGGCTTTGCGCACGTCCTGTTCTCAGCGGTTGTGTGCGCGCTTGACGTTCATTTCTGTGTTTGTCGCCTTCATTGGTTAGCCTCGCTTTGGCCGGTCTGGGCAATGCCATAACGCACAAGCACGTACGCACTCACGCACGCACCACGCACACACCTGATATTAATGCAGGGCCTCGCCCGGTGTTGGCAAGTGTTGTTATCTTCTGCATGCCTACTGAAATCAACCACAATAACAAGTTGGCTTGATTTTCATTTAACCCAATGAACTACTACCCCTCCCCATAGGTCAGACCAAAAATAACCGCTTCAAGATCACGAACACCGCCTCTCAGACTTTCCTAACAGTTGAATTCCTCCAATTTCTCTCTAATTGACCTCCGTGTCATCGCGTGTCTAATTGATTTACTTGCCCGACAGTTTTCTGTGCCAATTAAGGCCGAAGGTTCTCTCTAATCGTCTCACCCTGGGCATTTTTGATATTTGGTTAGCTCTCCCACGTTAAACGCGATCTCCATAGGAAAGCCTGTAAACTTAACCGGATTACTTCGCTGTGCGGTGTTACCGCAGACGTTCGAGCTGTAATTAGCGTGTCCGAAAGTTAGTACATTGTTGTGTGAGTAGTTTCAATATCCTCAGACAATTCTCTTAACTCCACTCTGTGTGTGGTCTGATTAGGAAACATTTTTGAGCGAGCTGCAGCTATATCACTGATTTAAAATTAGCCCCAACTGTTACTTGGACTACGAAATTATTCATTTCAGGCAGCTGTCGCATCCGCGCGTCTTTAGTTGCTAATTTGTAAAATATCCATTAAAAGACGCCGTAAATGTTTGTGTGTGTGTGGTAGCTTACAGATCCGTCACTGGGTATTTCAATACTGATGCCAATGCATGCTACTGTCGGTAATCAACTCGCCCATGTGCGACGCACTCAAGAACGCCCACAAATGGTCTAACCAGGCATGAGCGAGCGTTCTCAACTTGAAATACCTTGTCTCTGTTGTCTGCTCACGCATCGACCCTTGCACACACGTCATGCACGTTTTCGCACGAAACGGAAAACCTCTAGTCGCCGTAGCAAACGATTAAGTAACGTCGTTTTGTTCTTTTTCGTCTCTCTCCTGGTCGAGCCGCGTTCCATGGGACTCAAACCCATGTCGGAGCGTCCACACTATGAATACTTGTTGAAAGGTCTCGTATTGAGACTGCTACAGTTCCAAGCTCTACGAGCGCAGTTGACACCTTGACCGAAGTGCAATGTGAATGGGCGGTATTCTGTGAGCAGGATGCGATTGCATTGTTCTCGCTACTTGTATAGTCCACTTGAAACCGATTCATCACCACTTTAGGGATTTATCTAACCTAATCAATTTCCGCTCGTATTCATTAACTTTGGTCTCCAGTGATCAGGACTTTCGGTATTGGCTTGTGGCTTGGGTCATTTGCACTTTAAGATTGTTCCCAACTCCTAGGTGTACTGATCAGTGGCGCCTCAGTGGTTCGAAAGGAGCTCAATATATTTCTTCCGTTGTAAAATTCAGGCCCCGCTGCATAACAGGGGAAGGGAGTATTGGTTTTGCATCATGCTGCCACATTACACAGTTCATCAAAGCCAATCCTGAATTTCACTAATTTGATTAAGCCGCCAGAAAAACGCTCTGGTTACCCGCTTTGCCCGCATACCCAATTGACCTCGCAAAAGTACACATCTACACTGGTGAATGACTCCAACGTGGTCTGCCCCACCTCGTGATGCCCTGTGGACTGATGCAAATTTTTCATCAGAAACTGACGTATTCCACGTCCTTGGCTAATGAAAAACTACATTTTCCCAAGAAGCCAAGCCGAATGGCCTGCGCTAGGCTGTCAACACTTTGCCTAGTATACAGGACCTTTCTACTAAGGCACAATGAAAATTGACGGAACCTGCTGATATTATAAAGTGATTCACAGATCAGTTCAGTGGGCCTTGTTTCTAAGCAAATAGCATAATTGCTCTGGAACGGACTTTGGGTGCGGAAAAATTATCCCTGGCTCGAAGCGCCTTGAGGTCGCCGGTGTTTCCTTCGGTCAGGTCGAACTTGCCGTATTTATTTATAACTGCTATTCCTGAAACGTTGTTAGTCGTGTCCTACTAAGAGCCCATGGCTAAAATATCGCATCTTGTGTGTGTGACTAAACAGCACACACACACCCGAGGGCTGTAGCCAGTGGCAGTCTTTTGCCCCAAACTAACCTGGGTGTATCCGGTTGGTCCTGTTTCTAAGGCTCATCGCATTAACCCGTGGTTTGAAGTGGACATTCTATTTTGATCACTGCATTTTCGAGGTGTACGTTTAAGACGCCACCAGTGTCCCTTTTCTTGTGGTCCGCACAAACCCTTCGGTAGGTGATGAAAAAGGTTTTGGGGCTAGACATTCAAAGGCGAATTATCTTTCCTAAAGGTGTCGAAGTATACTGATGATATTCAGACGTAACATATCATGTGCCAGCCTACTTTTTTTTAAACTGGTCGATTTAGGTTTCAGTGTTGCGATTCGCGTCATGCAGAGTTTGTGTTTTGTGGCCTTAAGCGTGAAAGCGCCAAGGTAATGAGATTATCTCTGTTTGCACAATTTGGCAAGCTGACGTTTCTCTTGATTAATTCACTTTTCATACACTTTTTTTCTCGTTAGCGTTTTATGCAAAGTAGCTAGTTTGGATTTTATCCACTGTATGCTATTGAGAATCCTGTAATCTGTTATGAAGCAGAAGATCAATTTCATGTTTCTTAATGACCATTTACCTCCATACGAAGACTGCCTTGATTTATTCCAAAATCCCACACGGTTATCCGTCATAAGCAAATATGCTTCCTGCTCTGGCAATTTCCAAATTATCGTTTGAATTGTAACTCATGCATTGACGGTAGCTACTGGACTGGTTCTGCAAGCGTAATTGAACTCACGTCACCTCAAGCATTCCCGTGTCCTATTTGTGCTCACACCAATGTTTTGCGCACTGACACATTCGTTTTGCCTGAGTTTTCAATTGATCGCACTGGGCCGGTGCCAAGAACTGTGTCTTCCTGATTGGCTGCATTCACGTGCTAGCGCCTAAACCAACCAACCACGAAAATCAGCGTGTAATGTCTTTCCTTGTCTTTAGAGCCTTGTGCTTCAGACAGCTAATCGTGAGTGTGTGCGTGTGTGTGTGCGTCTCTTTCATTCGTTTTGGCTCAAAAATCAACAACTTCTGACCTAGACAGTGTTACGAACCATTGGTGAAATGTCAGGGGTGGTATATGTTTAAGCGACAGATGCAGAATACCGGTTGCTGTTGTGCTACTGTCAATTACTAAGCCAAGTTATTTCATGGTACCATGACCATTTCTCATGTCTCTAGACCAGACGTTGCATTGTTTTTCCTATCATGAATTCCGTAGCGGCTTCGGTACTTGTAGTAATCTGCGCAGTTACCGTAGTTCTGGCTTTGTTATGAGTGTAATGCTTTGAGTTGCCAAGACCCTGGCTTCACCCCTCTTCGTGTTTGTTTAAAGCTATGAGCTGTCCGTTTGTTTATGTTGCCATCAAGTGGACTTTGAAGTGTTTTGGGCGCTCGGCATCTGCCGCAGCGTTTACTAAGGCGCCGTTAAAGTGGATTCACGCAACATCCACCGCTTGCATTTTCGTCTCTATGTAGACGCCTCCAAGCCAGATGCCAGGAAGTTAAAAAATCGATTACTCTCCAACGGGGTTTTTTTCTGTTGAGGTGCATAGTAGTAAAACTTGCGGGTATGAGTATTTCACGATGTTCTTTACTTGTAATGTACCCCTTTTGACTTGATGGGATGATTTTGTTGTGTTTTCTGTAATCAAACTATCGACCTTGGAAGCTGGGTATATGCCGCCATTTGTGCTCTTTGGCCCTAAACTCATGCATAGCTGAAAATCCCGATTACCCACTTCCTTACTGGAAAGCCATCGATTCAGGCCCTAATTTGAAAATCACTTGAACCACCAGTTATCGGATAATTCTGCTGACCTCTCGATGGCTTGCTGTAGCCTTCCTGGAATTAAAAACGAAATTAGACTCGTCGATAGCACGTTCGTTGTGCGTATATCCTCACAACGGGAACGGTGTGTCGTTATGCTTGTGAACGAACGGTGATGATGGATGAATTGTTGTATCTAAACGGGGTAACGGGATTTGAACATCGTAGGTGGATTTAAGTAGCCTCTGGTCGTCTTTGATTTCTGTGTCCATCGTCATGATTTGTAGTTATTACTTACAAGCATAGTTACTGTGCACTACTTCAGTGTTAATTAGCAAGTTAATTAAATCGCCTATCCGTATAAGCTTAACCTACACCTCTTCCTAGCCTCGACTCACCTCTGTTTTTTTCACCCCCGAAGTTCAAACCGCTTCAAGCAAATTTTCGAACACACTTTTAGTTAGTTGGTAGCAAAGTCGTATTCTGTTTGAAGCAATTCACCTGAATAGCTTCTTGTACGTTCTGTTTTCTACACACATGACCGTCTATTCGGAACATGCTTAGGCACACACATACACACACACCCGCGGCCAAAACGAGACTTCCTTTGAGTGCCTCCTGAAATCGGGTCGCTTGTTCCCATTTATTGACTAGGGCTAAGCACCCAGTGCCCTGGTCGCTTACTCAACTCGCCAACCGACGCGATCCACTCACCCACCCACCCACGTGTCAGCATGTCAGGGGATTGAGACCAATGGACAAAACGTGTTCTTTTTTATAATCGTTCCTTCTATTTTTAGTTAAATGAAGCACGCTATGTTAATTTTGCTTTATGTGTCATCTTTAAGTAGGCCGTAATTCAGGTGCAATTATATTTCGGCCTACTTTGAAAGGAGTCAAAAGCGGACCGCTTCTTAATCTGTTCAGTTGTATGCTTTTGGCTCGCCCCTGATAGCGAAGTCGCTGCCTCGGTGCCCATTTCTTTGGTTTCCTTGATTTTGCTTTGACGATTCCTCGGGTTCTGCCTTAATTTAGGTGTTTGCGATGTTCAGCCTACAGCGCAATTCCGCACGCCCGGTCAATCAGTCATTCGGGCAATTCCCTTCGAGTGTGTGCGTGTGTGTGTGTGTGTGTGCGCGTGCATGTCTGTGTGCGTGTGCGTGGGTGCGTAAGCGAAGTTGGGACTGCTGACATCCTGTGGTGTGTTCCACAGTCTTGACACCATTAATTTCCCTCCTCAGAACTCAACGAAGGTCGAGAAGGGAACCAGCCTGAGGTTCCGAACAACAAGCCTCCTGCTGCTGCCCCCTCTCGCGTTTCCTCAAAGGGGCTCAGTTTCCTCTGTTGTGGCCTGGGAGAAAAGGCCGAGAACGCCAATTCGGAGGCTGGCCCCACCACGGCTAAACCTGGCGCTGAAGGTGGTGATAATGGTGCGGTTTGGATTTTTCCTCATCTCGACTTGTTTTGAGTTATTACTCGGCAGCTGTTCGATCGTCTAAATGCCATAATCTGTTTCGTAGAGCCTGGGTACCCATGCGTGAGGTGGTATGTGTGAGCTCTTTCCAGCCGTCAATCAAAGCTCTGTGTGTGTGTGTGTTGGATCCGTTCGCTCCCCCAAAACCTCGCCTTCTTCCACTTTCGCCACTAACCTCTTTCTTTTTTCCTCTACTGGTAATAGTTACATCAAGAGATAAGTTTGCCACATTACACCTACATGGCACTGTCTCTAATCGCTATCGCACAAAACATGCGGACGCCCTATTTTTGCTGCCTTCTCTAAACCATTTTAGATAGCGAGACAACCTCCAGCTGTAGCAACTGGAGTTCGCTTGAGATTTGCCGTAGCCGATTTTACTTCTGTCCCTCCATCCCACATCACGAATTCACCTTAACGATTATCCAACCACTAAATTCCATGCCCAAACTAAGACGCGAAGCGCCATGCCTCTGTCTAGCATTTTAGAAGTGGAATTTGTGCTCCATTTTAGCAGGTTTTGGCGCAGAAGTTCCTCCCAGTGTTGTGTTAAACTGCTTGCGCCTTGAGCTGACTTGGTCTGTGAACTAAACTAAACTAGACGCATCGTATTACTTATGTATGCATTCACGCCGCCTCAAGTGCATGGTAAACTTACCCGACGTGCAGCATGCATATTTTTGGACTGTCGCATGATCGCAACCACTGCACTCGTAGTTTTCGTATAGCGCATCTTATTATTATGCATTACGTGTACCAACACCACGCCTACCAAATACCTCTCTTCCATCGCTCAATTGCTTCGAACGTCTCCGGTTTTTACGACCGCATTATGGGCCGAAATTCGTGCTGAGAAATTTGCTGCATTTGTGAACTCACCAAATTTTTACTTGGCCTTAAAGTTACAGATTACGTAAAACAAATTCATAGACTTATGACTGGCCGCATTTGGTAGAATTTTCTGGCAACATCCTCGACTAAAGATATTAAAACGTGGAATCGGAGTTTTGACGACTAGTTTCTCAGCGTTTTCACGCAAATCGTAATCATTTTGAGTACAATATGCACGTAAATTTGGTCGCGCATTGGGTTAGCTTTCAGCAATCCAATATCCACTAGCATTAATTTTTAAAGGGCTAGATTTCCACTCGATCCCGATTATATCAACAACGTACGCACTTTATGACCATCCACTGTACATTTGTACTTGCTACATTTATGACTCTATAAAATGCCATGACATCGTCTAGCAGCCGTATGCTGCCAGGTTTATGGTAGATGCGTCTATAACCCATTAACGTTGGTCAATGTGTTCGTCGTCTTTACAGAGATGGAAAACCTTGATTTTCGATCCCTTGTTCACGACTCCACCCGCTATGGTATCAGTAAAACCGGAGAAAATTTATAGCCTCTTGCAAATGCAGCAAAATCTCTTTGCACGGAATTCAGCCAAATTAAGTCGATGCAAGAACAGTTGGTGTAGAAGACAATTTGATTGGCTAGACGTCATTTTTCATAGAAAAGTGGGCTAAACTTGTTGGTTTGGTGGGCAAGCACCACTTCACAGTTAGTGTACCTTATGATGTAAATGGGTGTTGACTTTTGTGCACATCGAAGCATTTAGAATGTTTAGTGGGCTCGTAGTCTCCACTTTGCCCAATTCTTTTGTGCTGATAACAACACACCAACTCAAAATTAATCTGTGTGTCAAGTCCTAACACTGATTTATCACTTGTGTATTGCCCGTCTTCTCCCTCTTTTCATTGTAGACTTTGCCTTCGAAGGTTTCAACATTGAGACTTGTCGCAGCCTCATTTCTATGATGGATGTAAGTTGAGTGGTATCAGTGAATTGTCATAGTTCGGTTTTCGGTTGGTTGATAGTAGATACGAATGAGGTTTCTAGGTTTCGTAGACTAGTTCAGTGTGTTTGTTCGCCTAAATTCTATCCTTCGATCTCATTCGCCCACATCTAGTCTCATTTGAACAGGTATTTTGTGGCAGCCATCCTTGATTACCCTTTGGATCATTACGAAATCCCTTCTAAACACACCACTTTACACTTAAGCACTTTTTTATGATTTTGTTTCATTGGCATTTGTCCTTCTCCCTGTGCTTATGACCTTGAAGGTGCGTGCTTACTTCAAAGCAAGGTAGAATATGGTAACACGTACTGAGAGTGAAATGCAACTGGACAAGTAACCCGCAGAGGTGCTATAAAGTCGGTGGTTAAGGAATGAATGACAAGTGCTCTTAGACTAATTTCTCACGCTCCCTCTCTCACGGGGCAATGACCTTTCTGCCTAAATGTCGACGTTCGTTCGTTCGTTACCGACAGCGTTGCTAGCATTTAACTGCATTTGGCAATCACCTGATTACTGCAGCACCTACTTCTGCACTGGGTCATGCTGTGTCGGTGCAGGGTGTGTACAATGTTAATTGGGATCGTTGTTTATATTTAAGCAACAATCCGATGGTGTGAAAGAAGGATTTTAGGAATCCCTGTGTCGCGGCTCAAATGCTCTAATCATGAGTTCTTGGTAATTCTGATAAAGTCTTGGAGTTTTGACTGTACATGTTAAAATGCAAATCGTTTTTAATCCCTGCCCCAGGGTTCTGACAGCGCTGATTTGTGTTTCTTTTCCTTGATTGGGTTTACTATTTTCATGTCATTCGCACCTTCCATAGGTCGACCGTTCGGGCAGTCTGGACTTTGAGGAGTTCAAGTCACTCTGGGAAACGTTGCGTCTCTGGAAGGTGGGTCCCTCAACTTTTCGTGTGTTTGGGATTGCATCCAATGGTCACTCACGCGTGTTTTTTTTGTTTTCAGGGCATCTTCAAGAAGTTCGACGCGGACAACAGCGGGACAATGAGCTCTTTCGAACTCAGGAACGCTCTCAACTTCGCAGGTGTGTGTGTGTGTGTAACTTAATACGTTGCGCAAATGTCATTGAGAAATGATGGATTATGCCTATGCGAGGCAGCAGCAGTGCTCGATGTTTGCAGCAGTGGTCTCGTAAAGTGTACCAGGGGTTCAAGTTTCCCTTGGCAACCTTCTCGTTGGTGACTTTCCCATGAAAAGTAAAATTTTATTGTAGTAGTGCAGGCTGATGGGGGGGGGTTAAATTGCGTCTTCTCAGCAGCGTGCGCGTGAGACGATTTAAAGTTGGGGTGAGCAATTTTCCTGTATTGGGGGTGGAGCGCAATTACTATTTACCTCACCCGCCACCCCACAACACAGCACTTATTTATCTTTCTTTCCCATTAGGTTTTCACGTTGACAATGCAACCTTCTCTAGTCTGGTGCTTAGGTTTTCTAATCGGGATAGGATTTTACGATTTGACGACTACATCATCTGCTGTGCTCGCCTGAGAACCGCCTTTGAGACCGTTCGGTCTCGACCTTCTTTCGGGGGTGCTGAGGTGCGTTTATTTCGGCCAATTTGATGTCTGATGGTGCAAGGAGTTAACATTTAAAACTGCACAGAGGAGAAGACGAATTGGAACGTTCGACAGCGCGTGTGTGCTGTCTTTAAAACAGGAAGTATTGCGACGATAACCAGAGTTTACAGCAAATATTAAAAAGTAAACGTATACAAAAAACATGGACGCCCATCGCCATAGATCATTTCAAATGAGTACTGCTCTTCCTGTGGTCGAACTGTAAGTGGCGCTCAGTAAGAATCGGAATTAAAACAACAGAATGTCAGGAATAACACGTAAATATCACGGATGAATCGGTGCTGCTAGTATATCCGCAACCCGAATCGATCTGCTTTCGATGTCAACCATCTAATCTTTATCGTTCTTAGCTGACAGAAACGGTCAGTTTATACCCCTGTCCTTGTGAGTTTTTCACAGTTTTCTCAATTTTCAAAACAGAAATGATGTATAATCGTTTTCTAAATGCGGTGTTGCTATTCCATTGCGGTTTGAGTGCTGCGTAATAAGGACTAGGCACTAACACCTGTGCATTTTCGAGCAAGAATGCCTTAGGCGATTGAACTTTTGTGATTTCCTCAAACTAGCCAGATTCTTGATCCACGATATTGGGTTCGTTCTTAAAATTGGTTAAGTGGCAGCAGAATGTGGCTTAGATTTAGTTGGTCACCCTTCGCATATTTCTCTACTCTTCTCTCTTGACACACATTACTTGCATCGGCTTTTTTCATTTCAGCTTCTCAACGTTTTGCTATACCTGTAAGGCGTCTCCAGAAATAGGGACTTGGAGGAAGGACCCATCTAGAAGCACTTCTGCGCGTGTTCCACAACCGTACTTTCCTGCCTCCGCTAGAAAACCTCGACTCACCTCCCCTCGCCGAATTAATGTTATCTTAAACTTTAACCTAGCAATTATTGAAACTGATTTTATGCTTATTTAAGTGTATAAGTTAATTTACGAAATCAAGTAAGGCTACACTCCAGCACCGCCTGATTTTCGTGGCATTTTTCCGCCCTACCAATTTTTCTGAGTTAAGCGCTCTCACACCATGTAATTTCCTCCTTAATTCCCCATCCACTTCCTCTGTTTGTTTCGTTTCACAAAAGATCCACAGCCTCTCATAATCACTGCTGCTTGTTGGCATCCTTATTGTTTTATGATAAGATAAATCCCCACCCATAGCACTTCACTTTGGTAATACGTGTTGGCGAGGGCGTCTGCGTCAGGCCTTGGACCGTTCTCTGTTTGATTAATTGACCAACTACAAATTGGGCAGCCATCGGTCGCTTAAAACGGGTATTTCTTGCAAGACTACGTGCCAACTTGCACATCAGTGCTGTGGCTTTCACGAAATCGACAAACTAACACGTGCGAGTTCAAGTTTGATGCATCCAAAGCGTGTGCGATAGGGCTCACAATTCTTTATTTTCTGAGAAGTATAAGTCTAGGTTTGAGGTTTAGATAAAGTTTGAGCAAGTTTCGGAGAATTCGGTAAAGCCGTGACATCTGCCGCTAGGGGTCTCTATTCAAACAACTCCCCATATTTTCTTTATCAAGTCCACATTATGGACCGAACTTCGTGAATGGCGCTTTCTTCGAAATCACCCCGATTTCTGCAACAACAGTTAATGATATCGATCGACTAGAGCACATTGAGATACACCAAAATGTACGCCGATCGCCCCCGTGGGGTCATTCTCCGGGGGTCAAACCAAAGTCGAATTATCCAAAGGGCCAGTTTATTTGAGAGGGCAGTTAACCTGACGAGATCAATTACTATGCGAGTTGTTCGCGCGTGGCGTTGGAACGCCAATTCCGGAGAGCGACTGACTCATTTTATACACAAACGTGACTGTGAGTGTGTGGGGGGGAGGGCTCACAGTTCAAGGTCAGGTGTATTCTAGTGTGGCTGTCTTTGTCACTTTCAAGGCAGCGGAAAAACTAGTAGAAAAGGCATGAAAAACTAAAGAAGATCGTGAAGTTTTTTTTGGCGCAACACCACAAAGTAGTGGAGTTATTTAACAATGTTAGTTTATTTAGTGACATTTTGATCTACCAATTCGACCCTAAGTGACAACTCTTGAATGTTTGTATGAAGAGTGATGTTGAAACTTTAATATGGCCTATTTAATCGATATTAGCGAAGAAATCTGGCCACCACCACGACATGAATCCGGATTTGGCAATTCGGGTCATTATCGCCTTTGTCAAACTTTCAGGTTCCACGGATTTAGACCCTACAGTTACTTTGATTACGGCAAATGTGGAACCTTACTAAAATTTGTTATCAGACAGAGTTCAAAAAAAGCTGTTATGGTTGACTTGAACGATCATTTCTGTCAAGACCGTTTTTGTAGACCCTTCCTTTACCCACCCTCCAAATTCCCACCAACTTGTCCCACTAGGCGTGGGATTTCCAATTGTGCAGACACCCCCTTATGAATTTTTCACTTGAAACCCTTACTTGTTCCATCAACCCCATCATAGGAATAAGCCAATTGCCCTGGGAGGGCTGAATGATCAATTGGTAGTTTACTACAAGCAGGCTGATGGTGTGAGGCATTTGATTACTCCCGTTTTATCATTACTTTTATCTCGATCAAAAACACATTTCGTAAAAAGTGTCTTGGATCATGCAACCAAATGAGGACTGGAGTTTACCTGAACCCATGTTGTTAAAAGTTAGCAACTATTTGGAAGCCCATGGCTCCCATTTATTTCCCAGATTCACTTGAAGTGAAACAGCCAGCCCATGGGCTTTGCCCCATTTCTGTAGTTTTTTTTCTCATTGACGAACCGTGTCTCCTGTTAGGCCTTCAAGAAATCCCGAAAACCGCTATCTTCAGTGTGAAATCATAGGAGCATAATGGCAGCACTTAGGTTGTGCAACCTTGGTACATCCTTTATAAATGCCCTCATTAAACAAACATTTTACCAGGGCTGCTTTTCAACAACCCGTATGCATGCAATCATCTAAATAAAATTTAAATAAGGATTTAATAATTTTTTATACAAGTTGGGAACACATTTGTTTAAATCCTCACACATTTTGCTAAAACGCACAAGGCGCCACTCATCTTTAGACTACTAAGCGTCATATTATGTATTGAGCCCTTGAGATAGGGGGCTTGAAGGTAAATAAAGCTCAGTGGTGGTTGCGATCTCGAAAAACCCAGACCCGATTTAATGTAAGCGTAATTGCTTACAGAGGGTGTAGTTCTACGCAGGTTTCTGTTGCTTTACGACAGATGAGAACACAGTTCACTGCTAGGTTTTGTGAAATTATCTGCAAGCCCAATTCGGTGGAGTTCACGAAATGATTGAATTGAAGGCAAGGCGTGACACTGGCAAAGTTGGATTGGTTCACTGCATCATTTTACTTCCTAACACTCAAGTTATTTACTCGTTTGTGGCTTTCTCGCAGTGTGTAGACTCTAGACAACATTATTTACAAACACAAATTTAGCTTTGTACAAATCGCTACTTTAAGGTCGAGATAAGCTTCATGCAAAAAACTTTTATCATTGTGAGATCTCCGGGTTAAATGCAATCATACGGAGAGGGCGCCAGCATTCAACTAGCACTTTCATTTTGAATTGAGACATCGGCGCATCACTGTTCTGTTCATTATCCTACAAGGTGCGGAGTTTTCTCTCAATATTGCTATGGGATTATCAGGTTTTCTAAGTTAAAATCGAGGTATTTTTATTGCCAGAAATCTTGTTAACTATTAAAAGGAAGTGGCTGGCAGCAAAGAACAATATTGTATTAACGAAATAGCCACCGTTTCTTCAACTAAAGAGGTCTTTGTATTAAATGGAATCGATGATCTGCCGGATCGATTTTTTATTGATTGGCAGAACTCTTAAACTAAGCATTTTGCGTTCCCAAACGGGCAAGTTCCCTAAACATGACCGCGTTGAAAATGAGTAGTAATTTATTTAAACTCCTAGAACGTTTTGTTTTCTTAGGCTTCTTAAAATTAGTCGCGGGTGTTTCTTATTTGGTAGCTTTTAAAGGTTGGGGGGTGACATGTAGTACAACCGTTCTCTCCTGAAAAGTTGTTAGTTGTGAATAATTTTCTAAAACCTTGTCCCCCAAAACTCGCATTTTCCATGGACGATTTCCCTCGTGCTTTGGCTTCAACGTCTACCCAGCTGCTACCGACTTAATGGTAGAAGCACTCGCCACTTGCCGCATTCATGTCATTGTTTTATTGCCCTGTCTACAGAATTCTGCCGAAATTAGCAACTCCGTTTATGGAATGTACCTTTTACGCATTTGTGTTTATGAGAGCACAGCTAAAGTGCTGGTAATGCGGAGGGTGTCGCTCGACCTTAAACTGTCGATCCACTTATATGAGGGCAAAGACCTTTCTAGAAACATTCTAGGTCGATCAAGTGCACACCGATTACGCCAAGAGTACGAAGGCTGGAAGGCTGCAGCGCGGGGTGGCTTTATTCAATATGTCAGAAGGCCTGTATCAGAGCAAGCAAACGAAATTACCATCTGGCCCATAAACCACACTGTTTTCCTGCAATTCCTCAGATTATGTAAGCAGCATGAGTGTGGGAACATGTAGCCTGAAGTCTCACCGCAAATTGAGATTACGCCTCAAACTCCCGGTTGGGGCGTGACAAGGCCGCTAAGTGGTGAATTAAATGTTCAAGTCCCTTCCGTCAGCGATGTTTTGACAAGAGCTCCGTGCCATTGGCCACTTGTCTGCCGTGACTTCTAACAGGCGCAAAAACAGGGCTCTTTATGTAGGAAATTCAATTAGCATATTTGCCTCCATAGAATCACTGCCAGGAAATCATGCAAAATGCATTACTTTGGTCTGCAGATATACACATAATGGCAGCTGATGCAAAGTACTGGTGCTTCGGAAAGGCGCATATTTCGCCAATGCCCACTGTCTGAAGAATTGTGTGCAGGCAAAAGGCCCTGGTGAAATGAATCGAGAACAGCATCCGCCAAACATTGTTGGTAACGCAAAGCCAGTTCTCCCGACTCTTTGTGCACTCCAAATAAGTTGCAATGCCCAAACAATGATCCTCGAAGTCAATTTTGAATTCAGCCGAAACGTCAACAAATTTCTTCCCTAAACACACAACCTGCTGTTTCATTACTGTAAAAATATGCAGGCGGCTCTGATTCTCTTATATTGTTGATTATCCGAGCTCAGCCAACGTACAAAACTACTGCTTGAGACGTTGGGCCCCGTGCTACCAACCCCGCGAGCACCCCATGGGAAAAGGTCTGTTTAGCGGGAAATAACTGTTTAACAATGGTGTCGTGTTTCACAAACTTCTTTTGCATATAAAGACGGCGGTGGGCCGCGTGATTACGTTATTATAAAAGAAAATAATAAGGCGTGAGAAGGAACGAAATTTAAAAATGCGGAATAAGTAGGCTCATCGAGCCTCGCGTTTGCCGACTACTAACACCAATCTGCAATATTAAAGCAAATACTGCCATTTAGTAGGTTACATTAAGGAACTAAGGTGTGCTTAACACACATAAATGCACCGCTACGTGAGCCGTCATGAAAGACCCTAAATAATGAAGGCGCATGAACATGAAATACTTGAAGTGTTTAATGTGCACATTATCTCAGCATCGGAGGCTTTTCACTCAAGACGTGTCAGCAATTGAGGATTAGCCCCGATATACCTCAGCACAATTCCAATGCCGCGTCGGGAGCCACAATGACGACCAGAAGGCGGTTGAGCGAACACCAACAATTCAGGTAAATGCTTTTATGATCAACACGACTTTAAGTTGCCTTAACTATTTCCTGCTTGTGTGAATTGGCCAGCAATAAGCCTAACCAATGTATGGTAAAATTTTAAACATCCAAATTCGATATTGTAGATATTCTGTCATCAAGACCATGTCGGCAACTACCAATTCCTCATACGATGACACATATGGTAACTTGATTCATTCCGAATCTACCTATACACCACTTTATTAACTGGCTTTCTTGATACAGGCACTTGATTGCTGTCGATTCGTGAGGTGCCTTTGTTACGAAAGAAGGCCACCTCGAGGTAAAGCTACCGGCAAACTGTAAAAACCGGAAAGGCAAAAATCAAATACCTATATTTAGAAGTAGAACACAAAATATACAAGCAACTTCTGCTAAATCTCAAGAATGGGATCATTGCGCTTTAAAACAGTTAGTTGGAGATCGCCTTTGTTATCACGAGGTGGTGGGTTGAGCGGTTCCGAGGAGTAAAGGGCGATGGGCGGGAAGGTGGTGGGAAGGAGGTAGTGGGCGGGAGTCGGTAACAAGGGGTCGTCTGAAGACGCAGAGTTCAGATGCGGTCGCTTGAGCAAGAAAAGGCAACCCACTGCGTCAAAAACTCGAATAGAGATGGCCGATGCAAGTAAATTACTAGGAGGGCGTTTTTTTAAATACCACAATAACAACATTCTGCCCCCGGACACACAAATGGCTGGTGTTTAATGAATTCGTACAAAATGACCTCGAGTTAATTAACCAACCCGAAAGCAGGCACTTTCGACTCGGGCAACAGAGCATTACACAATACTAGTGGCAATTTTAATGGCCGGGATTCAGCAATAATGGAGTCATTTTTACGTAGGCAAAAACGAAAACACAGGCGTACCTCAGAAATTGAGAAGTTCGAAAGAGAAAATGCCTTATATTTACAGTAATACCAGTAGATAAAAATGTGCAGTTTACAATAATGCAAATACAGGTTAGCAGAAGCAGACAATTTATTACACTTAACACCAATTGGACGAAATTGTCGCATACACACACACACACGCACACGGATTTCCCGTTGATACACATACAACAGGAACATTTGGCACGGGTTTATCTAAAGTACGGTGGATGCTGCGATGTCTAGCCAGCATTTATCACCATTATGTTTGCTTAAGCAGCTATTGGGAAGTTAGCCTACGTGACTGAAGATAACAAGTTTGCGCTTCATGCAATCGAACTTGACCAAGTTGGACAAAAAGTTGTGTGCGAAGTGCAACCAGAAACAGCTTGTCTACAGGAGAAAATGACTTCAAAAAAACTTACTGACGAAGAGTTTCCAACATTGATGGGAAGAAATTGGCTGGGATCAGCATGAAGGAGTTCGGCAGCCACCCTGCAATCCTTCTTGTAAGTTTCCTGCAGGATAAACGAAGGGGTACTGAACATATTTCAGTAGAAGAATTTAGTAATATAAAATCTATAATCCAAAACGGTTAACCTGACGTAACTGCACAATAAAACAGGTTTGAAGCAAAAGGCTGATACTTTTGAGAGCACGCCTAAGCGACATGGAAAGGGTATTTGCAGGGAGGAGTGCGCGATTGCGGTCTAGACGACTAGTTTCCACGGAAAAAACTGAGAATGTGACCGCAAAAGCTTGAGCGTCTCGTGTTCTGTGTGCCTTGGTGAACCGAAAACGCCTCTGACGCACAGAACCAGTCTCTTGAATGCGAGCAAACTGAATACTCAGTCTAAGAACTCTCTTTCAGCAAGACTGCCTTATTGGTTACCTGTAAGAGTGTTAGACATTAAAACTGGACAGAAAGTGCGCTTACTAACAGCAGAGGTGAAGCGCAAGTCCCTTCTGAAGTGCTAAACCCTGTCTCTGCGTATGACGCATGACCAAAAGCAAGCCAACTGCATACGACATAACAGTACTTATCGGGAAATTTTGAAAATTACTTGACAAGCAAACTTGGGTAGGACGCCACCAAACTTACACACTCCACGGTAAGGTCCTTTATTCGTTTTTCTGCCTCCGCAAACTTTTTCTTCAATGTATTTAACTCATCTAACAGTAAGGCCTTTTCTGTTTGAAGAGATTCTACCTGAAAAAATGTTTCAGAGCTGAATGGGTCATAAAGATATCGGGAATGTAGGTACATAAACAAATTTGCACAGATATCAATCCTGGTAGCGCGGTTAGGGCCGGCTGTGTTTTAGCTAGATTTTGTAAAGTAGACTAATGTATTTGGACAAAGAGAAGTGATACTTTTCACACACCGCCCCTAATGCGAGGCATACATATGAACTGTCTGTAAACATTATTTACTGGTCCCCATTTAGCCACTGAAAAAGTTGAATCCACAACCAAAAGGTGGTCAAGCATTGAAAATAAAGAGAAGCGTCCTTTGCCGAACTCGACAAACGGTACAGCCCCCTTCGTGCATTCTTTTCCGTACGAAAAATATTGAACAAGGAACGAATGAAGCTGATGCGTAAAGAATTCCGTTTAATCGCACTGCTATTAGATATTGAAATGGTTTCCTTAATAAATTGCCTACCGCTGTTAGCAATTTTTCTTCAAGTTCGGCGTTTAACTTGCTCAGTTTACTGTGGTCTTCAGTAAGCCTAAAAGAGATAATTTGCAACAGTAATTTTTGGCTGCGAAGGCAGATGTATGCATCCGCCCTAAGTAGACCAAAAAAGTCGGATTAAACCACATTAGAAGGTAGTATATATTGCGACGACTATTTCTAGGGCAAACACTAGAATGCTTACAACAATAATGAGAGTTTAACCCAATACTTAAATTGACGGGCATCCATGTATTTTTCAAATGATTGGGACTATGAAAAAAAAAATTCGAAAAGGGACACATACCGTAGTGTGCCTGAACCATAACCCACCTTTCGAACCTCATTCGATACTTTTCCGTCTCAAGTCTCTCTTTTGCCATTTCTGTCTCGTGGATTTTGACCATTTCAGTGAGCTGAGCGTTAAGCCGAGAGTTCTCAGACTTTGCAACTAGCAGTTGTTGTTCCATGTTTTCGAAAATCCGACTTGCACTAGAAAAAAATAGACCTTGAAATTCGATGGAACAACACGCACTACGAGTGAGTGTCACGTAATCGTGTCAATACCGTGAGGGTTTCAATGGCGGTTTTGCAGAAATCGGTTTAATCGGCTCTAAGAATGGCACATGACGCACAAAACAGACGTTTGCATGCCATCATATGACTTTGCAAAAATACTTAGCAGCTAATATATTCTTAGCGTAACGAAAGACAAAAATATGCGGCTAAAACGCAGATCAGGTTTGGCAAAAACTAGCAAAGATAGAATACAAGTATTATGAGCATGCCTTTAGTTTCAGAATCTCTCAAAGTTTAGTCATAAAAATCAGAGCTAAATACAATTCAATGTCAGCTAATTATAAGGAAAGAAAAAACACGTGGTTCATACTCTACCTGACAAAATTTCACTGCTAATAATGCGAACTGAGCAGTTGTAAAATCAGACAACCCGGTTAAGTAAGACGAATGTTAGGTCAACATAAAATTCACAGTTGATTAAGTCAAAATGAAATCGACGGATCTCATTTCCAAAACAAAAACTGAGCCGATTGAGACCTTCTAGCTCAATGGTTTTAACCACAAATATATGCCAACAATTTAAAACATACACAGAACCTTAAGTCTCAGAGAATATCCTAGAAATGCCAAATAGGAGTAAATTCGCCAAAAAAAACAAGGGCGAATTGAATAACGAGAAGAGTTGACATTTACTAACAAGCACTATCAGAGAATATCGGAAATTAAGTTACAAACCAAATTTGATATTTGACACGAAAAAGAAAAAAGTGTCATCATAACGGGAAACTTCCACCCGATAATTGCCGCATATCAAAACCACGAAATCCAAACGAATAATGTAAAATGGAAATTGAGGCAGGTACTTCGTATTACGGTCAGATGCGCAGATAAGTGCTACGAAATCATGGCGTGAACAGCTAGTAATGAGAAGTGATTGGCATAGCTAACATTATTGTACTAAATTACTCAAGCCATACAATTTGTCGATTAAATACGTGGGTCCATTCCCATATGAAGAACGTTACCAGAGTATTTTGATTATCGTAAAGTGACAGCAGGCAATATACAATAATGAATAGCATTTCTGAATTAACTGTAGTGAAATAAATCGCCTGCCTTAGGTCAACTTGTGGGCCTGAAGACATGGCCACGGATCAGGCTCAAAAGGGTAAAGCGGTTTGAGTGTGCCGGGTGGTAGCGAAATAGAAAATCTACGATAAATAATCAATATACGATTCGTGAGTACTAACTTTCTGCCCGCAGGCATTTTAGATAAAGTGGAACCTCAAAAAAGAAGCCAGGAATTTCGGCAAACGTTAAAATTAGGACTATAAATTGCATTTATCAGAAATAAACGAGGCAGAGTATAATGTGTGTGAACGGAAGGTTCAGATTAGGAATTCATTTGAGTAGAAAACAATCATCCATATGACATTAAAAGATCGATAGTATGCAACAATTATAAATAACAAAAGAGAAAAATGAAACAAGACCTTATTTTATCAAGTATTTTTATATTCATTTTTTTAATCAAGCAAAATCATTAAACAAATGCTGCTAGGACTAATAATCTGAATGGCGGAGAGTATATCAATTTTTTCTCATTAGCATATCCGTTTGGATGCAAGAACCACAGTCAACTTCGAATTTGAGATCTAAGTCGTTGAAACACATTTTTGAGTTTGTACTGATCTAGCAATGCTGCAATCGGATATTTCTATATGAAACAACTAATTTGTTCAGTGAAAATCACTGGATTAACAATAACCTCTACGTTTCTTGGGTTATTTTTGGTAGGTGATGTAAATTTGTCTTAATGTATGTTTACTTACTTCGTCGATTTTGGTCATTTGTGGAGTCTTCAATACGTGGGTACCGAACTTAGGAAATATTTATCTAAATAAACGGCGATTTTATGGCTCTTGAAATTTTACTTTTCCGAAAATTAGCTCATGGCGAATTTATGTTTCTGATCAGAGTATATGCATTAAAAAAGCATAAAAGATGATTGATGGGAAATTATCAAGTTCGCCACATTGTGAACTCCGCCAATTTACGGGCCCGCTTCGTCGGCGGAGCTTTGATGTTCTTTATCCTCCGATTGTAAATTGCACGAAAATGGATCGAATAAGCTGCTTTTGTACACCAAGGGAAAATCATTATTGTGATCTGACCACACGAAAGATGCTGTGTGATCCTGGCCAGCAGCATTGTCTTTTGGTTCTTAAACGCATTGGGGGTGAAAATTATCAAACTCAGTTTCAGGGGTGTTGGAACTGGACCATCGTAAGTGTATTTGCGATTACATACAATATTTAGACGCAAACATGCCCATCGGAACCGGGTGTGTGTTACAACTTCAGGTCTAATGATGATTTCGTGACATGTTGTTGCAAAGGTGACTCTTGTAACGAACCTACTATACCAGTTAAGCGGATTCCAGGAGACCAAGGTTCGTATCGCTTTGTTTGCTATCATTTCATGCCAGTTAAAAGGGTACCCTTTCTTGGTGTTTATTTTTTCCCTACTGGAAATCATACAATATCACCAGAATTACGGTTTTTTGGTTACTAGTTGTTCTCCATAATCGTAAAACTGTTTTGTATATTTTACTTAGATCATGCTCTTCTTCCGGGTTTATTTTGATTATGCACATATCTGTTTTCAGTCACTGGTCCTGACCCCTACAATCGTACACATGAAAAGACAATTTCTACGAGGCCACTTTCTCCATTCTCGAATAATCCAACTCTTTTCTACGCTGTCGCATTGCCCCTCCTTCTTCTAGTTCTACTGATTGTCGTCTTCATTTTTATTATCCTCCGCCGGTACAGACAGGCTGCACATACCCTTGGAAGTGCCGGTGTTGGAGGCAGCTCTAAACTGAGCTCCGAGAAACAAAAATCGCTGTTTCGTTGTCATAACTTCTTTCCTCCATCCTTGAAAATGTGTTTTTCTAAAAACAGACCCACTAATGATGGATACCAGTTCGGTGCCACAGATGGCCTTCTCTGCCGTTCTTGCCCCCCAAACGGAACGCCTTGTGTCGTTTGTGGTAAGTGCCTTCTTGCCCAAACAGGCGGCTCGCAGCTTGTGCCACAGTTGACTCGCCCTTTGCTTGGAGGTGGTTGGCTCGCTGAAGACGAACTTGAAGAGGTTAGTGTTTAGCCCAATTTCCTACATTGCTTAGTTTTAAATATTCGGGCCTGCTACTTTACTCTTTTTAACGGTGAAAAGACCTGCAGCACTTCTCCTTTTCGACATAATTTAGTCTTGAAAAATGGCTTCCTCGAAATCTGCGTTCAAGTATACTTGTGCGTCGTGAATCATTAACGTATACTAAGATGCTTGGAATTTCTCTGGGTCACCCAACATAATACAATAAACTAATCAAACTGTCAGAGGTCACGGGTATTTCTATCTAGCCTCCTTTGACTGAAGTGGTTGAATTTGTTTGATACAACTGGAGTCTTTTTATATGCTGTATTCTACACTCTGCTCCCCATTTCAGCTTTCACAGATCTGTACCAAAGTCCGGATATGTTCCCGTGGCCGTTTTGGCGAAGTGTGGCTCGGTCGACTGACTCAGTCTGATCATGAGACTGCTCGCGACGTAGCCATCAAGGTATTTCCCGCAGCTGAAAAGAAAAGCTGGGAAGCTGAATTGGAATTGTACCGTCTTCCCCAGTTAAAGCATCCTAACATTCTGCACTACATTGGCGTCGACAAGGTTTGTAAACCTTTATCGATTTGCAAATATGAAAACTGTTGGAATTAACCTCTATTGCAAATATCTGCTATCTTCACGTAATCAGCTACAAAGCGAAATTCGTCATTTGATTGCGGCGAGTTATTGTCAAATCAGGCTTGTCAGTTTTCTGGCTTGCTTGATATTAATCGTTTTCATCACCATTGCTCAGCTGGTCCTAATACGTTTAAGGAAACTCGCCTGGTCACGATACATTGATATCATATCATTACTTGAAATGGTGTGGCGTTAGCCATTTTCGGTTACCTGCAGACGACATCAGCAAATAAAATTATTTCACCACTGAATTTGAGGCATATTATTTCCTCAATAAGTGGTAGTTTGTTATGTAGAATCATAAGTACAACTTGACCTGATTACCTAACTTCTATTCAGGAGCCACTTAATGGGACAAAGAATCAGTACCAGTGACAGACTCATTGTCGTAGAACTCTAAATTATTTACATTTGGTGCTCTAATTGCTTTATTTTTATCATTATGGTGTGGAACTGTTTTAGCCTTCGCGCATAACTAGCGTTTGTTATTCGTGCAAGTTTGTGCTATCTCGGGTGTGTGTGTGTGTCTGTGTGTGTGTGTGTGTGTGTGTGTGTGTGTGTGTGTGTGTGTGTGTGCAATTAGAAGCAGTATAAACACAGTGGCGTTAGCGGTGACGTTGGCCGTGGTTGTAAATCAACAGGTCGTGGATACAGCAGTTAGGAGTCAGTGTAGTGCGCGTTTGCACGCATCCGCTCTTACCCGCTGACATCAATTCGTTTGCGCGCGCACATGCATTCGCATACGACCTTGACAATAGCAAACTGTTGATTGCGTTCAACGGCCTGACGTAATGCAGCCCCATTGGCCAGCAAAGGGTTGGTAAGGGAGTAATCGACCTTTGGTTCTGTCAAGTACGGTACACTGGCCCGTGGCCTTACATTTTTTTTCTAAAAATCATCGTTTTATGACTTAGTAAACTGGCACCTTAATTTGGTCATCCGTGTGTGTCCAGCCTTTTGCCATTTAAATTTCCCCAAAGTAGAATGAGGCTCTCTTAGTGTAGTCCGCGCCACATATTCGCCTGATGTTTTGCAGGAAGATTCAACCTCAAAAACAGTCCCAATTTTTTTAATAAGTAACTTGGGGTTAACAAATTTCGTGGAATTTGTTAAAGAATCTATTGTGGGCGGGATGCCACGGTAGCAAGTGGGATGTCCAATAATCTACACATTTCCATTTAATCTCCAAAATCAACTTAATTTTCATACAGTGCCATTTCACTAATCCAACCATTTTGGGGTTGAATTGTTTACGGATATGTGAAACCATTCCAGAAGTCTAAGCACTCGTGGAAATTTATAAACGATCACATACTTGGCAAGGTGGAAGAATATTTCTCTCTAGGACTTCTTTTACACGGCCCCCCCCCTATCTTCTTGAACAGGCCTCTGATTTTTAATAAAGACAGGACTAGTCTCACCTCGCTCTTCTGTGTTCTTTCGCATAATATCTAGGTTACTCGGGATTCGACGGAGGGAGAAGCGGGCAGTGATCGAGCCTGTGGCTCGGGTGAAAATTCTGTTATTGAATACTGGCTTGTGACAGACTACTTGCCCCTTGGCTCCGTGTATGACTACATTCGCGTGAAGGAGCTCTCTTGGGGGCAGATGCTGCGGATCGCTGCCGGCATGGCTCGTGGACTCAGTTACTTGCACACGGAACTCCCTCGCACTGCCTCCCAGTTCCCCAAACCGAGCATCGCCCACAGAGACTTCAAGTCTCGCAACGTGCTGCTCAAATCCGACTTGACGGCGTGCATTAGTGACCTCGGGCTGGCGACGAGGCTCGAAACTGGTCGTGGAATCGGCGATGCTCATTTACAGGTGATCTTTCATATCTAAGGCGTGTATGAATAAGTTTTTTGGTGCATGTCGGTTGGTGGATTGCACTTAAGTTAAACAGTAAAACATCGAGTGGCATCCAGTGTGGATCGGTCAGGTAACGATGACTTAAAATTGTTAACCTTGACTTTTCCGAAGCTAGTATGGTTGTGATTAAATGGAGGTTTCAATCACGACATACTTACTGAGCAACCAACCATTTTTACACACTGTCAGTAATGGCTCATTAATTTGAGACCACTTTACAAATCCTTATTAAATTTCAACCCACGCGTTTTGCTTTTCTGTGCCCCATGTTAACATAATGCACCCCAAACTTGTGAAGCCGTGATTATTAATGGACAAAAACAAGACATTACAGCCCTCGACACTAAAAGCCAACAAACCCAGAATAATCAAAATTCAATTGCGACGTAGTAGTAGATAACTTTTTTTCGGGGTCTAGGACGTTCCTGTTCATGCCGTCTATTCCTCTTATTACAATGCTCTGCGGACTTGCAGGTGCTGAAATCTGCGTTCCGATTCACTATCAAACTCCCAATACCCCAATGACTGCTTCTCATTTACTCTGCTAGCATTTTCTATTTGTGCAAACCTGTTGTGATTTCGACCATTTTAATTAACTGGGATCACGCCCATCTCTTGCAGCATTTCTGAACACTGTCATTTTTCTAATACTCCGTCTTCTTAGCTGGGAATGTTCCTCATCGTCGTTAGGGTAGCGTTTAACTGCTTATAATTCGACTTTGTCCCTACCAATTTCTTCCTGAGGTGTGGCCGCACGTGTTTGAGTAATTACGGGGCTGCCATACGGCCTTCTTCCATTGACTGAGCTCTTTTCCTTTACGCTTATAACCTGCCCAATCCTTTTAGTGTTTTCTTTTTTGCCCGTTCCGGGATGACACTTTAGTGACCTCAGCTTCATGTGTTGATTCAATCTCGTGTTGAACTAGACTTTCATGCTTGGGCATAACCTTCGATAGAGCATCGCGCATGGTCTTATTTAGTAGCGCTCTGTCCCTCCATTCCTCCTCAGATCGACACGCGTTTTTGACTGTTCTTTCGTCGCAGTCCGACTGTTCGATTTCTATCACCACAATCCTGTCCGTAGATCAAACCATTCACACGTAAAACCGAATTTCCTTTTGTTTCATTTTTCATCACAAAGGTCGTCTGATTTCCATTTTATTAACTGTGCATTTATGTACGTTCATTCTTCCCAACGTGGGATTTAAATCAATGACATTTGGCTGTCATTCGTGAAAAAATTGGGTATTTTTGGCGGCTGTAATGTGCGGACGTCACCGATCCACATGTAGCAGATCATGCTATCTTGAATGCACATACGGACCCAGCCTTCTAGTTACTAATTAGCGCTGCAGTGACTCGGCAACTCACCTTGACCAAAATTTCAACTTCGTCACTACACGTACTGAAACCCAGGCCTGATTTTGCATGCTTATTTCCTTCACACAATCGATCATGTCTTTGCGTCGTTCCCTCACGATGCTTTTAGACTTAGCTAAACCCGGGAGTTAGCGTGTGCGCTTCATTCAGTTTCCACTCTGTTTAAAACCACGGGATGTTACTACTTCTGAAGTTGGAACCGAAGAACACACCCTTTACAATTCCATGTGGTTGCACGAAATCTTTTTTCCGTTTTAACAAATTGCTCCATGCAAAACTCGAGCCTTCGTCCAGCAGTGGAAGCCTTTTACTGCTTTCAGACATCCCTTGCCCTAAGATGATTTCGCACTAGTATGCGGCATGTTACTGTGCAGACGGAAAAGGCCTCTTCAGTCGATTTGAGTTGCCTATTTTATTACCTAAAACCCAAATATTTGTGTCGGTAAATTGTGCCCTCTAATTCACCATTACTTGGCTATAACAAGTGCTCTGTAAATATTGACATTTTTAGTTGCATCATTATGCATTGCGTCGTTGTTTTAAAACGTACAGGCATGGCCTTTTAAGTGGAACACTAGTAAATGTGTCGGTATATATTTGATCCTGAAATCAGTTTAAGGTGTTTGTGGCGACTGTAGTCTCTCGGTCGGTTTCCTCTACAGTGTTAATGTTCATGTCTGCAAAATAGAGCCTAGTGTCACAGATTACTAATGAACTACTTGCTACCTTTTTTAAAGGTGGGAACTGGACGTTACATGGCTCCCGAGGTGCTGGACGGTGCGATCCAATTTACCCGCGACGCATTTCTCCGAATCGACGTCTACGCTCTGGGCTTGGTCATTTGGGAGCTGATGACACGAGCCCATGGTCCGCGTGATCCCCCGCCCGACGACGACACGACACCCTGCCTGCCCCCCTACATGGCCCCCTTTGAGGCTGAACTGGGACCCGCTCCAAGCATGGAACAGTTGCAACTCTGCGTGGCCAAGCTCAAAAAGCGTCCCGAGCCCAGTCCGCGATGGGAGAACGATCAAGTGAGCGACGGCCTCCTCATGCGCCCCTGGCTTATGGTTCACGTTCACGCTTGAATTGCTCATCTAGGCTTGGTTCTGGTGTTACGAGTAAACCAACCGCTTCAACGTAAACAAGAGACTAATTGCGCAGACTTGGAGAACTAATATACGGCTAAATATTTTTTTTCCTTTCCAATAAAAATTTAATATGTGCTTTCAGATTCCATAGAAATTATAATTGCGCTTAATAGCTGTCTCTTTGAAATCGTCGTATGGCGCTGTCATTGGACTTTCCTTGACCGACCAGTCCCTTTTCACTACAAAAACTTTCAATGGTGGAACATGCTTAATACCATCTTTTATTAGCAAGCGCCTGTTAATGTCTCGGCGTCACCACGTATTAGCAAGGCCATTCTTGTTGAGTCATAAAATTTATAGCGGTTTGCTGAAGTGCATGGCGCCTATTGACGTTAGCTAGGGTCTGTTCGTTCTTTGTTCACATCCAAATGGTTAGTGATGGACAACACGTGGTAGGTATTTTTTGCCTCGTAATGGGCTATTTACCCCAATGTGTCACGTTTTTTGCACACAGGCATTCACGCAGTTGTGGGAGACCGTGCAGGACAGTTGGGACCATGACGCCGAGGCCCGCATCACCGCTGGTTGCATCGCAGGCAGGATTCAGAACCTCAGTCAGAAGCACCCACCCTCGCCAGACGACCCCGCCCGCCTCCTCCCGTCCCTCTCGTCGACCTCGTCAATCAACACATCTGCTTCGTCGGCGTTTTCCACGCTGGGTTTCGCCCAGACCCCCTCCGCCCCCAAACAGTCCCCTGATTTCGTACCCTTGCTTGCACTCCCCTCCTCTGACCCCGTCGCATCCAATGCTGACCAAGCCGCAGTGATCGTAGTCTAGTGGTTGTGTTTGTGCATTTACATCCGCTACCCTTGTACAGCCCCCTCTCCCACCCCATCCCCGACGAACATGCAAGCGCCCAACCCCATAATCATCCAACAAACTTGCTCCTTGCCGTCCCCTCCATTAATATACGTGTTTTGGGAGAAACGGTGAACAGAATTCGAGACTTTTTGCTGTGTGCGTGGATGCTACTTTGGCGTCGTTGTATCTCGAGTTAGTAATTTATGCCCAGCAACATGAGTAGGCCCTCAACACGCGCTTCCTGAATTAATCGTTTGTTGTTGTTGTTTGTTTATAAGGATTTCAGGAGTGACGCGTGTTTCTTGTTGTCATTACTTTATTGGGCGTCTAAATCGCATGTTTGACAGACAGGGTTTATGATGTAAAGACCAGTTTTGTTCTCAGTGAAAACCATTGGCGTTGCAAGTAACGTCACTGTTATAGGGAAACGCTAAACTGGATCCGTGGTAGGCGCCTCGACGTACTTTTGTTAACTGTGGAACTTATTTATATCACTTCACACTCTTCCTAATTACGTTTGACATCTTAATGCTTCTATAATTCTATTAATAGCGTGTGGTAGATCAAGTCAATTGACGCTGGCATAAATCCTTTTGCAGGAAAGCGTTTTTACGAAAGATGGCTTTAGTCGCTCGACAGGGGTCGATCAGTGAGTAGGCCCCAACACCTTAGTCGAAGGGTTAAAGGCGCTAGCATTGTTCCAAGGGACTGATTCCATCGTAAATGGCGAGGTTTTGAACCAAACATCCTTTCAAATGCTTAATTCCTGAATCAGCTGGAATTGGATTACTTTGAGCTTGCAGGAGTTACGTGGAATTTCTGCCATTATGATAACTCACCAGAATACTTCGTGCTTCGTGTTATAATCTGACCACCAACGGTCTTAGTGCGCATTCGCCGCGCGTAAGAACTTGTGTCGGGTCAAGTCCTTTTCTCTAACTAAATAATGACCACCAGTGCCTTCACGTCAAGGCCTGGACAACTTCCTTTTCCCATTCTCAACGCCAGAATATCACCGCAAACAGATTCAGCATAGTTTAATCAACTGCGGCGACTCTTTTGGGGAGGTTGCTCAGCAGAAAATTAGGTTGTCTCTGAAGGTGGTCAGAGTAAAACTGTAGTCAATTTAAAAGGTGCCACTAGTCTTCGCAAAAAGGTCTGGGCTGGGAATTTCATACATTCGGCGTGATTTTCCTCGGTAGATGTAGTTAGGACTTTCCAAGCTTTCATATTCCCAACGCAGATTCGAGGTCGGCGTGGAACTCCCTCCCTAGTTGTTTTCCGCTGCCCTTGTTGTTGTTGGTGTTACTGTCCTTAAATCTAAACCGTGGCGTCAGCTGAAGACTGACACCCTGATGTTGTGTGACCTACTTTTACGTGATGGAATTTCCTCTCACTGTTCTCACTGCACAGCCATGGATTTCGGCTTATTTCGTTTCCAGCCTTTAAGGTCCCAGAAGGTATAAGCACCGCTACCACACCGTTATCGTATTTGATTTTTGTATTAATGAGAATTCGAGAACTTCCATGTGTCGTGTGAGCACTTCCTATGGTCCTGGTTTGTGTGGGTGAACCGATTCGATTAGGTATCAGTCAAGATTTCATCACTCCCTTGTGTCATTCTAAGTAGTTTGTTCTAATTTTAATTATGGGTTGTCTCTGCATGACCTAGAGACCGTCCTGATATCCTTTCATCTCGACATGCGCTGACATACGTGGTAACTGGGTTTTCGCTAATCTTCGTCCGTTTCTTGCTCAACAACGCTCTCTCACTGTCCGTTATACTTCCCTGTGTTAATTTTCCCAGTTGTCGGTGGCAGCTCGGATCATTTCGGGGAGGTCTACTAGAGGGGCTGTTTTATCCGGCGGTTAAATGGCCATTGCTGTTTTATTTCAGTCCACCCAAATGACCACGGTAGAGGAGAAGGAGGAACCAATCGCGGAAGCCTCGCCAGCCAAGCAGGCTAAGTTAGCGGAGGCCGAGAGTAGTGTGGGCTCGCTCCGAAGCGAGGCCATTCGTCGCAAGGAGCGCTTAATCGAATTGCGCAAAATGGCCCAAAACAAGGGTCTGTCTACGACCAGTGTGGCCTTGGACACTGAAGGCGAGCTGCCGAAACCTATCTTCCGCAATTACAAGCCCGTCTCCGACGAACTCAAACCGGGCCAACTCCCTGAGGGCTCAATCGTCAACTGTGAGTTCAGATCATTGCCTTCTCGTGTCTTATTCTGTGCGCCGGCTCCCCGACCAGGCTACTTTTCAACCCCTGAAACCCATATTTACTTCAGCTTTTGACCTGCCTATTTCGTGCCTCGTATACCCTAAGAGTACTCATTAACTTATACACTATAAGTTGCTCAAATTTTGTCGTTGAGACAGCACCGACGAATTGCCTGCTCCCCGGCTCACTACTGAAATTACATTATTGCTATTTCTGCTCCAGGATTTACTGCTAGTCGTTAACAAGGCTCTTCGTAAACGATTCTCAAACTGTTTGCTCACCATGCTGTTGTTTTGGACCACCTGTGTGTCTAGCCTTTTCTCGATAGTTTAGGTATTAGGAAGTACAATGTGTGCCCTGCATGACAATCTATTTCGCAAAATGCCTCAGGTTAATCCAAGATGACTTAATTGTTGTCCTTACTGAAGTCACTAATCACCATTTTGCCACGAGCTTCTCAAACCCAGTGAAAGTGGGCACTGACTTCCATCGTACTCAGCTGAACACTTGGGGGAGTGAAGCGCGCAGCACCGACCACCGCCAGCAGGTGTTGTGCGTCTTCACGACCAATCGCCCAGCATTCTCCCCGATCTCTCCTGATAAAAAGCCTGCTGCAGGTCGCCGATGCCTTTTAAAAACAGGCTCTGCTTTTGTGAATTGACACCGCTAGAGGCACAGAACACGCAAGCCCCGACTGCGTAATGAACTGCTTTGAAATGCGAATTTAAAAAGCATGAAAATCGTTACTGCTTGGGATGTATTACTAGTGGTCGGGAGCTAAGGCGTCTTGATGTGAAGCGTTTTTTGGCGAAGGGCTTGCCCCTGTGATTTCATTGGCTCGCTCCACATTCCCCGTTCCCGTTCAGTTGTAACCTTGAAATTTGGTAAACAACTTGCCCGCCACCCCATCTCCCCTCCTCGCCCTCACCGACTCTGATTTGAAATTGTCACAAAACCAGGGAACAACTTAGCAACAGCAGCAGCAGAAACTAGTTGTGTTATGCTTTTGGTAAATTGAGCTAACATCAACTTCCCACACCGCAGCACTTGGTGTTTGTGTGTGTGTGTGTGTGTGTGCTGGTGTGAAAGCCCTAACCTGTTGATTTTACTATCATGCTATCACTCTAAATCCGCATTGTTTTTAAAATTTTGGCGACTCTACGATCTTCTTCTGCACTCAAATTTCAGATTGATGAGTCATTAATTTGAATTCATCAAAATTGATTAACTAGAGCATATTACAGTTCCGATATCATTAACAATACACAAGATTCGTCTCGTTAGGGTCATCGTCGTCTAGGCGTAGAGTCAAAATCGGTTTGCTAAAAATATCTATGTTTTTTCCAAGTAAACTAACTTCTTTTAGCAACTCCACAAAGTAGTGGAGTTGCGCCAAAAAAAACTTCACGATCTTCTTTAGTTTTTCATGCCTTTTCTACTAGTTTTTTATCCCACTGCCTTAAAGGTGACAAAGACAGCCACACCAGAGTACACCTGACCTTGAACTGTGAACCCTCCCCCCCACACGCTCACAGTCACGCTTGTGTATAAAATGAGTCGGTCGCTCTCCGGAATTGGCGTTCCAACGCCCCGCGCGAACACCAACTCACATAGTAATTGATCTCGTCAGGTTAACTACCCTCTCAGATAAACTGGCCCCTTGGATAATTCGACTTTGGTTTGACCCCCGGAGAATGACCCCACGGGGGCGATCGGCGTACATTTTGGTATACTTCAATGTGCTCTAGTCGATCGATGTCACTAAATCCCATAGGACAATCATAACGATTTAGGTGAGAGCGCCACTCACGAATTTTGAGTCCTTGTTGTATTTTTGTAAATCCGCAGACCTTAATGTTCAGGTAATTGTTGTCTCAATGCTTAAAGTCGCTGCTCGCAGTTTTTGTTGCTTCAAAATCGGATGCCAGTATAGATGGACAAACTGGAAGTGACTTGTGGATGAAGTGGTCTGTTGCTTTTGTTCAGGCATTTGGATGAAACCTATTTGTTGACATGCCATCATTAATCTTTTAGTGGACGTTCATGTCGCGGAACAGTTGGAGGCAGCAAAAGCACAATCAGTTGTCGATGAAGTGGTACGTAACACTTCTTTTTCAAACGCCTCCTTTCGCTAATCTTAAATTGCCATTATGATGTTTAAATTTTATTTCAAAACCGTGGTTTCGGTCTTTGGTCAGCCTAGCCACCCAGAGTCAAAAACCTTCGAGTAACGTCGCCTAGTTACCACTCTTCGCATGTGCTGAGAAGAAGGCAGATTTGTTCCTGGGTGGCGAGTTAAAATGCATTTACGCCCCCGTGGACCTCAGTAGTGGTGGTGGTGGTGGTGTGGTACTCGGGATATTACTAAGCGCACATTAATAATAAAAAACAAGCATGCGTGTCATGCATCTACTCTAATAGACCATGTGCCACACACACAAATTTGGGTCCTCTCACGGTAAAGTAGTTAATTGCAGTTAAATTCTTGCAAGGAGGATTTTCCGAATTGTGTCCATGATTATAGTGTGCGCTAGTGTTTGTGATTCTCTTAAACGAGATGTGTTATTGGTCGGTGTAGTTGTTTCTCCACGTTCCTAAGGCTATGCCTAAATGTTGTTTCTTGAAGGCAAATCACAAAAACCTATGTAAACGCCGTGGGAATGGTTTCACTTACGAAGGGATGTGCTCGGTTGGCATATTTACTTGCAGTCGCCGGTAGAGTGTTTGTGTACATTTAGGGCTTCACTGTAATTAAGTTAAATCAGGTGATGTCGATGCGTTGCATGAATCTTAAATTTCATTCTTTTCGTAACCTAATACTGACTGCTCCGATTTCACAAACTCAAAAAAATTCGCTTTTACAAAGGCCTTTCCACTTCCACCCAACTGTGAAAAAGCGTGAGCTCGAATCCAGATTTGTCGCCTGCGTACGATACTTTGGACCTTTCCAAAGAGCGTCAGGGACGGAACAGTACTCAAAATCAATAATTTTCTTTCACCAAAAATCCTAGCTTTTCTTTTTTGTGTTGTCCTGAGGACAGCAGTCGTTACCTTGCTGGTGCCATTAGTGGCTTCCTCATTCGGTCAAATTCGGATAAAACAGTTTAAAATGACAGATATCATACTAACGCCTCTCCTTTCATTCCCGCCTTCTGCTACTCTTTGGTCTTTTTTGGTGGTTAATCGAGAAGCTGTCGCGTGTTTACTTGGAAAGTTGATGCAAATCCCGAGTGTAATAGTTGAACCCCCTTGTTTAACACGTCGAAGGTTTCCCAGAATAAGAGAAGGCTAGCGCTTGTGCAGAGGGCTTAACCGTCTGAATCAAAGGTTCTAGTTCAAGATGAGGCCAAAGCAAAAGTCTAGTGGACGTTCACATGTGCCCACTCATAAATGCCTGGGCGATCCACAATCGATGAGCTACTGGTGTGAACGAAGATTTGGCGTGAGTATTATTTCGTAATTGGGTGAATAGGGCTGAGTGGATGGATGTCACAAAACACTGTGTTGATTTAATTGTCTTTGGGAGTGTTAACATCCCTAAAAAACGATGAGTGAACCAACCTCTGCTGCTACTTCTTCCTTTTCATCTTCAGAATCTGTTCAATCTGGCACCTCGGAAACCGGATTGGGATTTGAAACGGGGTGTGGAGAAGAAGCTTAGGAAACTGGAACGACGCACACAACGGGTCATTGCCGAGTTAATTCGTGAGTAAATGTTAAGCGTATTTTCCGATTTTACGTTTTGTTAATCTGTATTCCACACGCTCATCGTTTGATGACTTTGCTCTGGACATAATCAGCCTATTTTTTTCTATAAATCCTGTTACACGTTTGCTATTGTGGTTGCGGGACTGCTTCGAAAAGTCCAAAGTGTGGCGTCTCTGTGTTGATAGTTGCCACTCGTTGACTAGTAGAAATAAGCCTCCTAACATTGCCCGTAGCCCCTGAAATCCACTGGATTGTAGTGGTATTGGAGGTGCCACCCATCGGCAGTTCCTGGTCCTATGCATCCCACAGAACGGATGCATATTTTTCGATCATTTTGACATTTCTCAAATGCAAATTTGGCAGTCTGTTGTGGGTTGCTGTTTTTGCTCAGGGAAACACGGTTTATCATCGTGTTTGCATATCCAGGGTGTTTCTACTACAAACGAATTACGCTTTAGTTCATTAAACGTGTCGCAGCTGAGATTAATTTATGTGTGTGCGCTTCAACCTTCTTCACAGGTAAAATTATGATCTCTAGTACTAAAATGTCAACTAGAGTACTGGGTTCCACCCTCGTGATTGGGTGATCTCTCTTCGGCGCATTCCATCTACGGGAAACGCACCCCAGTAGGGCTGTAGCATCGGGCGGCGCAAAACTGCGTGCAGGATTGTTTCAGCGCTGCCGCCTGCCTACGCAGGAGCCGTGGGCCAATCCGTTCACCTTGTTACCGGACGCGCGCGCACATTCAAACATGGGTGTGCGCAGCAGAGGAAGCTAATTTCACTTGGCGAAGGCACCCAGCTCTGCTGCAGCATTTCTGCACCTCGTTTTAAGCAAAATGTCACTAAATGGCGCTGCAGAATTCGCCGTGTGAACGGCATGGCAGCACGTCAGATGTGGGGGTTATCTCCCTGCTACTTGCCTTGGTACAACCATTTAGATTCTCTGACTTCTTCACGCACAATATCACGTTGCCAGTTCAACTACGTAGATCTTATTTTCTTGTATGGTCCAAGCCGTGCTGACAAGATGCAAATTTTGTAGCACCTACTCACGTACGAGACGCGACACGAGTAGATAATGGTGACTATGTAATTGAACTACTGCCGGTGGTTGCCAGTTTGGGCGTCATTTACACTGCAGCTACATGTGTATATTGTGGATTTTGTTTCCTGGGTTTCCTGGGTGTGTCTTATTCTGTTGTAAGTCATTTCCTGGTGATGTTAGCCCGGAAAACAGCACTCCCATTGGTATGCACACATCTGCGAACACCGCCAGTGCAGGCAACGTCCGGGTTCGAAGTGAATCAACCAATCAGCGCCGGAAGCAGCTAAAGCGAGGTGTGAATACGGATGTGCGAGCGCACACAATCGAAGCAGAAAGGATTGGGGGCATAGTCACTGCCACCATTCTACCTGACGGCGCAATTACGGTGTTGCTTGTCTCTGAACACGGGTATGGTTGTCGGGGTGAAATAACTTGAGTCACGGGGTGACGGGGCGTTGACGTCGACTTTTTGGACTGCAAACAAGAATGCAAGCTTGCGAAGTATGAATTTTACCACACGCCAAGCACCCAAAACGGTCGGACAAGCAAAATTGTCAGAAATTAAATGGATTACCTCACAATCTGTACCTTTTATTCGCTGCCTTCAACTGGATGATCTGCAATAATTGGTCACCCAATCCGCAAGAATTGTCAAGACCACCTTTCATCTCATACCCCGTGTCGATTTGTTGTTTAAAAGTAGTTGAATGAATTTAATGACTTTCCTCAAGGTGGTTTCCCTGTTAGACCCTTGCACGACTCTTATGCCCGTACGCCTAGTTATCTTTCAAAGCGCCACCTTCCTTATCGAATGCCAAAAACTGCGTGTTTTGTTTCTTTTAGGCGAACGGTTGAAAGCGTCAGAGGGCTCTGTCTCGGCCGTTGCTAGTCCATCAGAGAATTAACGATGGGGGACGATGCAATTTCAAAAGAATGTAAAGATTCCCTGTATTTTGCCTTGCGCTTTGTACAATAAGCACTTTTGATACCATTGTGACATTTTAAAAAAAGTGTTGCAATCCCACAAGTCTCCTGAGTATCATGTGCTACCAAGTCAGTGGTTAGCCCTGCCTGAGCATGTGGTGTGAGACCTAACTTACCAATTAGCACTTGGAGGGAAATTGAGGACTTTAGGTACACTGGAATGTAAAAAATTCGTGTGGTTTGTGACGTGTCATGTTTTTGGTTTTTTTTGCAAAAATTCAAACTGTATATGCCTGGAATAAGTGACGTCAGTCGTTCAAGGAATTTTCGTGAAAATAGACTGTGAACGCCTTACATGTGTGAGCAAGTATTTAATTCACACAAGTGTTTTATGAATGCTTTCGCGGAGTCAGCATTCTGCATTGCTGATCCCCGCAATCACGCCACCCCCGATTCACCCTAGTTAGGGAAAAGGTCGCCAAAGGCAAGGGCGAGTGGGCGCGTTTGAACATGTTTCTGGGCTTTCGGCTAATGCACTAAATGCTTTCTACATGATGTCTTATCTTTGTCATGGAATTGGGACTGTGGAGCTTGCTTTAGATAAGGACTTTGTCCATTGGTTCTGGTTACGGGCAAATCGTAACACGTCAACATTTCACTCCAGATCCTCTGTGGTTGCGGTCGGGTGCTTCCCCCTTTACACGAGGCAGTCTTTGAGGAAAAAATATATTTGCCGAACTACCTTCCATTTCTCTCTACTAATTATTCACCGATTTTAATGCAAAGTGCAACCGAGCTTGAAATTCATCTTGGGGAATTCATTGAAGGTTTGGGCAAGACCACTTCTAATTTTCGCAAGAATCAGGTTTCGCCACAGTTGGTTAGCAAGCGGTTTTGACCGGTCGCACCTTTGAATACTCGCGTGCTTGATCTTTAAACCTCTGCTAATTCCTTATCTGAATGAGCTTAGCGCATCTGCGCCTGCCTTACGACAGTGTTTTGATTAACAAAACAAATTAACACCGCCCATGTGTGTAGAAGGGTAAAAAATACGGGTGCATAGTTTATGGAATTTTTTTCCACTTTCCTACATATTGTAAGAGGCATAGCTTAGGTTTTAGATAAGCCACCACGTCCCGCTGTTGACCAATCCGCCTGCTCCTTGTGACGCCTCAACTTTAAGCAGTAATCTCATTCTGGAGTTTGTAGTGCTCGTGGCCGCACGGGTCGACCGCCTAAAAGGTGTGAATGGCGCTGTGAGTCGCGACGAAAAACACACACGGCTAGGTGGCTCGCCTGAATATGCTCTATCTCAAACACTTTACAGTATTGTGTCATCACAAATCAGCATCAACTGTCTTTTTAAAAATGTTTGTGAAACACCACTCGACTCATTCGAGTGTGTGATTTGCCCAGATGCCTCACTTTATACTGGGAGGCAAGATTTCGCCCTTGGGTAACCCGCATCTTTTTCGGTTGAAGAAGTCGTTAGGGGGTTTACACAACAGCCTTGAACTCACTGCAATGTAAGTAATTTTGACGTCCACTAAATCAAACGGGGCATTCATACTATTTGATTAGTGTGACAAATTTCAGCAGACCATAAGCATTGGAAAAAAATAATAAATTAAGTCCAATTCTGGTAGGCTTTCCAAAGTTACTTCTAAGGACCGCCCGTACACTCTCGTACAAGCGTCTTTTAGTCTGCTAGGTTTAAAACGAGATCTACAACATGCATTGGTGGTGTGTCGAATTTGTGGAAACGATATAACTCGAGCAATAAAATAAATGTAGGTCACTATCGCAATTCAACTTCGAATAAGTTAACGAAATTCCACTGGCTGTCGAGGCGTGCAAAGTTTAAAAATAAGTGTTCATTTCATTAATGATTCGGTCACTGCAAGCTAATTTACGAGGAAAATCACAGTCTACTTCCATTCTCACATTGGCATTGTAAGCCATGTGTCAGTATAGCTCATCTTTGGAGTTGAAACACTATGGAAATACACGCACTATGTGAGTAATAAGTTACTGAATTTTTAAAGTGATTGGATTGGCTAGATTAAATTCATGGGCGTTTTTTACCTCGAAGGAATATCCGTCAGGGCTGATCTTGGTCTTGGTGAGATAGGCAGCAGGGCAATGGCAACCAAGTGACTTTGGTGTGTAGTCGATTGCGTAGTTGGTCTGACCATCAAATGGACCGCAGTACAGTGGACCGGATGAGGGCTTGAGACTATCAACCTTGCACCCTGTTTTCGGTACGTATTCAGCCTGAAAAACGGAACATTTGGTTGGTAATTTCACAAATACAAGACATTCTACTTAAAATTTGGTAATAGCTGTAATTTAAGTTTGTACCTTGTGAGTGGAAAGCGTTTCCATAGGTACGTCAGGCGGAATGTATGGACGAACAGCCTTGATGGGAGTGTTGTGAACGTTCCATGGCTTGTAATCAGACATATAGTTAGTAGTGCCGTCAAAAGCAGCTGGGCACTTTGGAGCCTCGGGGATGGGCAATGGCTCTTGCTTGCATAATGGCGGCTAGAAAAGCGAAGAAAAAGGGATTGGTGGAAATCATAGTCAGGGCAGAATTGTTGCTAGAGCAGTGGCCAATAACGCCAAACCATTTTTCAGACTTTATTCGCAGATGTCGTGCAGGCTAAACTCACTTTCGTAAGATCAAGATCTTGGTTTTGACGAGCGAACTGTTATCGGGAGAAACTAGCTCTTGAAACTGAAATCCTCTGATGAGGAATTGTATTCGATTGCTAGTAAGGTGGATCTGCCGTATGGCCACTAAATTAATGCTAGGAACACACGCCATTACCCTGGAAGGTTGGCGTGGACGGTTCATTCGAGATTCCTTTGAATGCAGGGTAGACGAACTAGGCATGACATTGATCTAATTAAATAATTGTCGAAATTGCGAGCTGAATTGTTGACGGAGACTTAAGTTGCTCGTTCGGCATTTGGACAAAATGTCAGTTAAGAGTGGAGATGCAAAGTGGTGACATACAACAGGATAATCGTATCTGTACGATGTGCCCTTTTCCATGACACCATCGGGTTTCTTGTAGGGGTCACGGACATGTCTGTAGGGGATGCAGGCGGGGTGCTGAGGGTAGTCAACTCGATGAGTTGTGTCCTGACTCATTGGCTCGTTGCTGTCAAAATTGCTGCTTGTTGGCTTGAAGGGTTGTAGGCTGCCTGGAATACCACAAAATCAGACCAATTATTCGAAATCACAATTAGGCTCAAGGCGTCCTAAAAGCAGTTGTCAAACTGAAAATGAATTTGGGTATCTCGGTATTGCAGCAGGCTTGATTTTCTCAAATTGTGTCTCAGTATTACCTTCAAATTAAGCTGAATTTCGATATGGCAGTTGACATGGAACTGCCAAATAAATTAAGCCACATATTTTTAAGTTACTGATGCTGGAAGTAGAAGTACCACTCGAATTATTTGAGTAGCTGATTTCGAGCGAAATTCCCTATTGTTACTGTTTCCCTGATTCATCACCTCGCGAAAAAACCACTCACAAAATTGCTTGGGTGTGTAATCGGATTGGAATGTAGAGAGGCCGGAGAACGGAACACGAGCCTTGGCGGGCGGTGGTTTTTCTTTAGGACAGCAGGGTTGCAGAGGGTGTGGTACATAATCGACCTTGTAATTGGTAAGACCCTCAAGCGGATTTTTAGACACTGTCAGGTTCGCATCTGGTCTCATGATGGAGCGTCTGGCATCGCACTTGGGCACGTAGTCTGCCTGATACGTTGGGAGGCCCTCAAACGGAGTATCAGGAGGCTTGTAGGGTCTCCTCTGGTGTCGCTCCACAGGAGGGAGGTTCCAAGGCCTGTAGTCACCTATAAAAAATAGACAGAGAGGCAGGCTCATTGGGAAAAGCAGTAGCGGACCTGCAAGCTCATCATTACTTTTTACGCTTCGTTTCATGGTACATGTAATTCAAGTACTGATCATTTAATTAACTGCCCAGGAAATGTAGATGATGTGCTAACATAAAATACGTAATGTTTTCAAAATAGCTATCAGTGACCTTGGTTGCCTACGTTTCTACCAAACTACATTAATAGATGTCTTGTGTGGATAAGGACTTCGACTCAAAATATTACCGTATTGGAAGTAAAAACTGTAGGTCCCGACAAATGAAAACTTGGTTTGTTAAATTAGTGCGAATTATTGCGAATACCCTGTCAATAGCTTGCAAGTGGCGATAACTCAATGATTTTTCCTAGATTACTCAACCAAAGGGATTTTCAAGAAAAGGTCAGACAAACCAGTGAGGAATATGCTTAGAGTACCTAGAGTAACAAACTAAAAAGCCTCAGTGATCATCAGAATCCTCCCATCTATAAAGATTCGATTTGTCTAACTAGATTCCGTAACATTTGGCAGCACTTTAACGCAATGACAATAAAACGTCAATTTACTTCTGTATGTTGGATTTCCATCGAACTTGACGGGACAATCGTACTTCGGTGAAGGTATACAGGGACCTGGCGGTGGACACTTTTTAGGCGTGTACTCGTTACGGTAGTTGGTTGTGCTCTCAATTGGCACTGTGGGAGGCTTATAGGCGCCTTTTTCATGTCGATAGGGTGGACATATAGTTTTGGGAACATAGTCAACCCTGTGAGTTGTCTGGTCCGAAATGGGCTCGTTGGAGGCCACAATACCGGCCTCGGGTAAAAATGGCTTTGCAGGATCAAAGCAATAGGGGTTGTAATTGGCCTTGTATTCTGACATTACACAGGGACCCCAAGGCAGTCGCTGTTTTACTTGGTGAGGACATCGGTGCCGGCTGAAGACAAAATATTAAAACGGGTAAACTGAATACAACTACGAACGGCAAGCCATAAAGGAATCTGCAAGATAGTTTTTCCAGTAGGTTTAGCATCAAATAAACATCTTTTCTGACGCCAAAACATTGCGGTGAAAATGAACCCCACAAAACCACAATCAACAGGCGGTACGTGGGGCCTGTCCATCGTCTGGTACCACCACATTAACAATCGCGGTGCAGAAATGGCAGGAAGCCAAATTAACACTTAACGCTGTAGGGATACGTGATTTCGTGCAATCATGAAATTGTCAAAAACTCTCATAAGTCATTACAAAAGAAGCTTACTTAGACAGACTTAGTAAGATCCGAATCATGTGGCGAGAGAAATTTTTAATTGCTTGATAGATTTACAGCTCAAGAATACACAACAAAATTTTGTCAAAAGGAACCGGTAGCAATTATTAGAAGTAATCACATTTGTGCATAATGTAAAAAATGGGTTAAAACATTTTTCTGATAATTAATTAACGATTTGATCCAAATTAGGGAAAAATTTGCTCATTGAACCCAGTAAATTCAATGTGAGAATGTTCTATGAAAAAAAACATTTCTAAACTGCTGGTGGCAAAAAGCGCAATTAAATCGGCTAGAGGCTCCAAGTAACAATAAACAAAGGCACGCTGTTACTCATATGTGTGTTGTAAAAAAATTTTTAAAAATATTACAATATTCCAGTTTATTTTTTGGTTGAATACAGTCAATAGAAATCCCTGAGACCTAGCTATTCATTTTGTTCTTCAGCAGTAATAAAATTCCACATTAAACTCAAATTTAAAAAAAATTATCAACAGGTAAATGGCACATAGCAACACGACTTTGAGTCAAATTAGATAAAAATGTTGCATATTTAGGCATTAAAACGCCTCTGTTCCTCATTAATTGAGGAGTTCAGCCAAATGACGTCGAATTTCGGCTAACAAATAAATAGTAAATATAACTAAAAATGCTAAACTTAAAAACTACGTGAGAGTAGTGAGGGCTTACTAAATCCGAAAATCGCTACATCGCAAACAAGCAGACCTTCAACAAACACGTTGGCTGCAAACCCATATTGTAAGTTAAGTCTTACACTGCCATTGGTTTCTGCTCTTTCATCAAATGCCATTTAACCAACATCGAAGAGTCAGCTTGACGATGATTAATCTTCCCCAGACAATGTATTAGGTCAAAATTTTTACAAGTTTTAAAAAGTTTAGTGCGAAAAAATATGACAGGGTAGGCTTAGAAGAGGTTTCGGACACAAACTTTCTGAGAATAATTAAAAGGGAGTATAGGCGGATTAATTCTCAATTTACGTCATTTACTTTCTACAAAAAGCAAAGTGAATGAATTTTTTTAGCAAATTACAAAAATGCTTTACTCGTTACCCTTAAAATTTATAATGTCAAACTTTGAAAGCTACTTTAAATCAAACAAAGTATTGAGCAAAACCAACAAAGGAGTGACCTGAAGCTAAACGAATGATTTAACTATGGTAAAAAAGGGATTATGTAGTTGCTGCTAACATAATAAAAATGGATACTCCTTAAAATCAAAAAATTTGAACCTTTTGACTACCCAAACCAATTTATTTTAATCGAAATCTGTCACCAATTACAAAAACGCACATTAATATTATGCTGACCTACACAAAAAATATGTCGGAGCATATACTGATAAATTAAACGAAGGCACCGCAGAAAAGCCGATCTCCTCATCTTTTTTTGGCAAGATATTAGTGATGTGATCTCAATAATAATAAAGCAAGTACGATTGCTTTAAATATGAATTTTAAGTATCTAATAAACTATGACCATCTACACTAACGCCAAGGTGAACAACTTTTAATCAATGGCTATAATTCCAACAAGTCTTAAAATATTCCAATAAATTGCATTTCATTCGAAGCAATGCCAACGTTTTTTTCACCTACACTTTTAAAGAATATGAAACGGTTGGGAAAACTATACCTCGTGGTCCAAATTAAGTTATGTTCATGGAACTAAAATAAAGCTTTAAATTTCTCCAAAAACGACATTACATGTAAAAACATTAAGGCCCTAGTTATGACTGCAAAGCATCTCACACGTTTTGCATAAACTTGCACTCAAAACATGGAGGGAAGTACACTAGACGAGGTAAATCACCGGCTATCCTTAGGATGAAAATGGAGGCAATACCAATAACACGGAAGACTCATATACTGAATGTGCGATTATTAAAGTTTGGCCCTGAAATTTACATTTACAAATCAGCCCAAATCAGATATTCGGAGTCAAATAAATTTGAATTTCAACACAGGACTGTGAAGATTACAACTAAAAAGGATAACAATGTATCTGTGTCAGCATGCTTACAAATTTTGTACGGGTTAACCTAGGTTGAATCTGTGAGGCGTGGTACGAAACAAAAAACGCGTTTTCAAATATCGAAACTGGTTCAGCATCTACTTACCCACAGTTACATACTTCACAAATGCATGGATTTTTCATATAAGATTCATTTGCATAAATTTTTTTACATGGGTTATTAACAGCAGCCATTCCTCACGATAATGCGTTAAAATATATTTGTGTAACGCGGTGATCCAATTAACAAGACCATTTAAAAGAAAAAACAAAATGCCTATGATAAACTTAATGTTTCATGATCTATAATATATAAAAGTGCATACCTTTCTATGAATGATTGCTGCCCGTAAATTGATTTAAAAACGCAAACCTTCATTAAAAAGAAGGGCAGGTTTTGATCGAATATAGTTTTAATATCAAACAATAAAAAGTAAAATTGTTATAGTTTTTTAAAGCAGATTTTGAGATGAATATTAGTTTGAGATTTATTTGTGGATGAAATATATAACACGGCGTTGATATCTTGTGGATATATTAAGTACATAAATAAAAACAAGAATTATTCCGATCAAATACAAACATTAAGGATGCCTAAAATTTGTCTTTCTGTTTGATGATTTTATGAGTCTATCATAAATTTTTAGCCACATTTTACATAAAATCATTCCGTTTTTTAATGATTTCAGTCTCCAATGTGTGCAGAAATTCGCCTTAATAGAAACTGAAATATTTAATACCTAGGTGTAGTACGGAACCATTTATGTTTGCTTCTAAGATCACTGAACATTTTATTTGTCGCATTTGTTGAAGATTTTGTATCTAGTGTTCCATTGGTAACGCATTTAGTAAAAAAATATAAGAAGTATAGTTATTAGATTTACATTTAAAAAATGGTACTTACGAATACTTATTACTTTACTTGAGTCCCCGTTTTTACAAACACACGTGACTATCACTCACCCATGCTTTTGATTGGCTACGTGCAATTGTGCTATCCCTTAGTTTGCTTTCACTTGCCGATCCTTAGGTGTCAGAATGGTTTTTAGCGCATTTAAGAAGTTGCTTGTAAGACCTCCGAGGTTTTTGCAGTTGTGCCGCAACTTTAACTTACCCGAATATCAAAGCAAAATTTTGATGAATGAATATGGTTTAGCAGTTCAGGACTTTCGTATCGCATCTTCAGTTGAAGAAGCTGAGCGCATTGTTGCTGCATTCAAAGTACGTCCCGGATATCAACAAAGGGGAATTTTTTAGCCGGAAGTTTATGTACTTAAAGCCCAAGTTCAAGCTGGTGGAAGAAAACTCGGCCACTTTGCGCACGGTGGAGGCAGTGGAATTCAATTCACTAGCGATCCTCATGAGGTCCCTATAATTGTTTCAAAAATGCTTGGTGATCGGCTGATTACAAAGCAAACCACAGCTGATGGTATTGTCGTTAATACAGTACGTTGTCCACCTATGTTATTCATCTTTTCTCACGTTCTGTTGCACATAACGTCTACAATTCTCCTCTAGGTTATGATAGCTGAAGCCATAAAACTAAAGAAAGAGCGGTATCTTGCTGTTTTGCTGGACCGTGAAGCCTGTTGCCCCGTTGTAGTGACAAGTTTGGAGGGCGGTGTTAATATTGAAGACGTTGCTCGCACTAATCCAGATGCGATAAAAAAGGAATTTATTGATTTACAAGAAGGAATGACAGGTATGTAGCCGGATTTGTTAGCATCTTGACCCATTAGATTTAAAGGCCGGAAATATTGCATCTTCTCTCGGCTTTCCATCTGGCTCAAATCAGCACAAGTTCATGTGCAGCCAGCTTAAAAACCTTTATAACTTATTCGTCGATCTTGATTGCCTTCAGGTGTGGGTCATTTTTTAAATGCAATTCTTCCGTTTAAAAATATTGAATATTTTAGTTCGAATTATTTGTGACATTGTATTAATGTTCTTTCACAAATTGCTTTGTCCTTATGCTGGTAGTTATGACCACGCACAACTGGCTTTATGCTTATTTGAAAGAATGACTTAGAAGTACTCAGGTCCCGCTATTTTAAAGTCAATGAGTTATGTACAATTTTATTTGATTTAGGTTGAAATTAATCCCTTTGGTGAAGTTGAGGATGGCAGTTTGGTTAACATGGACGCCAAATTTTCTTTTGACAATAACGCTGCCTACCGTCAGCCTCGCATCGCTGCCTTAGCTGCCCAGTCACGCAAACTTGATGTCGAGGCTGCTGGAGAGAACTCACTGTTGGCTCTTGAAACGAACGCTGAGGCTCATGGTCTTAATTACATTGGCCTGGCCGATGGTAATATTGGCTGCATGGTTAATGGTGCTGGTCTTGCCATGGCTACACTTGACCTTCTTTCGCTCCACAATGGAAAAGCCGCTAATTTTCTTGATCTAGGTGGAAAGGCTAGCCAAGAAGATGTGGAATTCGCATTGCAGACTCTCACATGTAAGTTTATTAAGACGTATAGATTCGATGTTTCTTTGTGACAACTTGAACACTCACGCACAGAACCTGTACCGATTGAATGAATTTCGTGTTAAGTGATTTAGGGCCATGTTTGAAATAATTAGCCTTGACTTTTTGCTATTTCATTGTAGCGTTAGTTTCTAAAACCTACTTAAAATAAATCAGTTTTGCTGTCTTCGTAACAGTAAAATGCTTCTCGTAAAATAACTGACAGTTAATTGTCAAACTTGGTTCCAGGTCACGCGAAATCCTCGTAATGGTATTCGATACCGCTGATCGCATTTGTAGTACTGCTCACAATCTTCAAGCCTGCAATTTAATCATGGAATGCGACGGTTATTGAATTAGGTGGAATAATCGTTCTTGCGAATTTTAATCCTAAAACAGGTCTTATTTGCCAACTTGACTATGTTGCAGTTCTGTTGTATTATAATTTACAATCTTGACAGAAGTGGTTTCAATGTTCGAACTGTTTTGGTACATGATCAAATGTGTTGTCGAAGACGCCACAAATAAGGAATCGAATTTACTCGAAACATAAATCGGATGACATCGGTGTCGTGATTCACCTCAGTTTTTTTCTGTTTAGGGTATTTCTACTCAGTGGCAGTGTAATACTCCCTTTATTTGAACCTATTTTGTTTGAATTTTAATTGTTTGCTTTCCCTTTTTGCTTATGGAACCTCGATTGTTGATAACCTTATGTGTTATTTACTGATTATTTGCCTTTACTAGCCTTGGGTGGCGATCCTCTCAAATTCCACTTTTTAAACCCAGGGTAAATTCACCATGATGACTGACATTCATAGTTTTTTTCAAATTTAGTCTGAAAGCCGTTTAGCGTGCGTTTTTCAAACACCATCACCATCCGGACAATCATCCGTGACTTAATTTTCCTTTTAATCCTTGTAGATATTTCTGATTGCCCTCTTTTAGTGTTGTATCTAGATGTGACTATTCCGGCAAAGTTCTCCCCTTAATCGCCAAAAAGACCTCTGGGTTTGTAGGGCCGCGTTGCTGTCGTAGAGCATCAGATATTGATGAACATTTTAGATGTTATGCGCTCTTGCCACCGTTTTCTCATGGCAAATGTTTACCTAGGCGAATTCTTTGTCCAGGAAGGCGATAGCACTTCTGAGTCAATAGTTTCATGTTCACACTTTACTATAGACGATCACTCCTGTGTATCTAAGATAAAAATAACACACCTATGCCCTGTACCCTGTAATTAATCAATTGCAGTAATTGCCCGATTCTGTCAAGTTACCGTAATTAATTCACGACTTCATTCCTCAGCGATAGGAACCTTTCCTTTACAGGTTTATTGGCTGAAAGTCACCCTGCTCAACATCGGCCAGCTTACGTAATGAAATCGAATTCTGAGTTGTACCTAAAAATATTCGACCTCTTATTTGAAATAATTCCGCAGTACCGTGTAATTACGATGTCGGTTGGTTGTTGATGTGGCAAAACAACAGATCATGACTGAGTGATTAAACCAAATTTCCTTTTTTTAGCTGACAAACGCGTGATGTGTATCCTCATTAACATATTCGGAGGCATAGTTAACTGCGGGATGGTAGCCGAGGGCATCGTGGAGGCATGCCGCCATAAGAAACCCAAGGTACCCATCGTGGTACGCCTGGAGGGCACAAACGCGGCTGTAGGTCAGCAGGTCCTGCGATCCTCCGGAATGAATATCCAAATCGCCGGAGACATGGAGGAAGCTGCTACCATGTCTTGCGGTCTCGTCAAGTAGAAACCACAGCTGCATCCGATCCTTGTATAAACCACTCAAACGCTCTTTTTGTCATAGTTTGTGTAAATGTTGCTGTTATTATATTAGTATTATATGCAGTTTAAACGAGTAGCGTTGTGATCACGAAATCCATCGGTATTTCTGCTGCACAAAGTCCACTTTTATGGTACCGTGAGCATTCGTTGGTGTTACCAAGACTACTGCCCTGCCATAGACTTGATTTACCAACTCCGACATTTATTAGTAGATGACTGTTAACTTTCGGAAAACTAGGTTGGTAGACGGGAAACTTGCCTGATTGACGTGTGTACATTCTTATGACGATTCAGAATCCTTATGGCTTTTTACCTCAAAAGCGCGGGGAGACAGCGGCATCGTCCACGGTGACTTGAACTTTTGTATTACAAAATGGCGCGGTGAGTACTGCTAACCATGAATAGATGTTATTTCCCTTAGATGGCATTACAAAAGACTGGGATTTGCGGGAGGTCATTAATTTAAAGCACTAGTGATCCGGTTTAGTTTACTTGTGGCAAGAGTTTTTAACCTCGAGCAGTTGATTTTCCAGAGTCTAACTGTTGAGTGAAGGTTAATGACTTTGGCCAATGCTTAAAATCATATTCACGGGAGACCGTTACGATAGCGCCAACACTCAGTCAATTCAAAAGTGAAAGATGGTCATAAATAAGTTAGAAAGGGGTTGTAGTAACGGAAACAAAAGGCTTACAAGATAGCAAGTGAGCCTTTAGGTCAGACTAGGGCAGACTCCAATATGTGGGAAACCGAGCAGGTCATTCAAAAAGTTGACTAGACGAGAAGCATCGCCCCGGTGAAATGGTACAAGTCCTACACTTTCGGGAGAGGTTAACGGACCAAGTAGCGTCACCGGGTCGGCTTCATACCAGAAGGTTTCGCCCTGGAAAGTGGAAGCACAGCTAGCGCAATTAAAGGAGTTTCAAGAAAAAGGCTGTTTATCACTATTCTAATTTACTACGTCTGGGAGCGACAAATGTAGGCACATTCAGCAATTCTTACCTGATACTGCGAAGGCGGGTTATATTTACCAGTAGAAATGAACTTGTGGAGTTCCTTTACCCGCAGTACAAAAGCATGTTTCCCTTCGTGCAAAGATAAGGCAAGCTCTTCCTGGTGGTTGTGCATCAGGGTCTCATTAATAATAATGATAAGTTTGCGTTTTCCTGGAGGCGTAAGAGCCTCCATACACGTTCCTGCTCCCCCATGACTGATTACTAAAGAAGACTCGGAAAAAACACTATCCAAGTTTGTGCGAAAGGGAAAAGAGACGACTTCCAATGGACTCTCGGTCGGTAAAGGATCAACGGTACCACGACCGTATTGAATAAATATTTTTCGGTACCCCAAACGAGCAATTGCTTTATGAAAACTGAGCTGATTTACTTCTCGAATTAAATCATTGAATGAAGTGGTGCCGACAGTCACAAAAACTGCCATGTCTATTCACTATCGAAACGTCTCCCTCGAAGACGAACGCGTTTATCAAGCTTAAGTTTTTATTAAATTTAAGAAAACCTACAATCTCGGCTCGGCAGCGATCAAAGTTGTGCCTGACAATAGCACATTCAGTGGGGAAGTATTCGGCCTCTAAACACTCACGAGGGGTCTTCCGCAACTATATTTGTAAAGTTGAATAATAGCCAAACCTTTTGACAACAATCACTTTTTAGTAAACAATAAAGTAAATCAACTTTTTGGTCTTCGCAAATGCCTTTGTATTTACCCGCAGACATCTACAAAACATGCAGCCCCACAGTGGTGTGGTGTGGCGTCGGATTAGGGCGCAGACATGTTGGACCACCTGGCCTCAGCCAATCCCGTGTCTCTCTGCG